GAAGTGAAAAGGGGAAGCTCTTGCCTCACCATATCTATATTATTAGAGATTAAAGCATTATCTGTTCGCTACGACTGGATAATCCTTTAGTTTTAGCTTGTTGATTGTAAGCCTTTTAGACGTGGATGGATATGTGCTTAAATCCAGCTCTTTATTAAAAGATATACAAGTCCTTTTATATTACAAGATTTACAATTAAGAATAGTATAGTATCGTAAAATGTTACAGAATAGCCAATCTATGTCTAGTTAAGAGCCAAACGAGAATGGATTGCTTAATTTCTTTATCTTCTGAGGTTAAAATTCATATAAGACAAAGAGTATAACCAGAAACCACAAATGGGCAAGGACTTAAGAGAAAAAAAAAAAAAAAAGCTGTAGATTGTTTCATATCAATGAATTGAAGGTTTATAAATAAAAAGGCAAAAGCCAACATTGCTTCATAATGACAATTTTTTCATATATAAATTTTTTTATTGCTACATTATAAGTGAATAAGCTAATTTCATAATCTATACATTTTTCGTGAAAGATTTTACATCAGGACATAAATAGGTTTAAGAATAACTTCGATTGTTTTTGAGGTAGTCTGATCTTATTGTGGGTCATTATTTTTCTTTTGACCTGTTGAAAATCTAAAATAAACGACTTTTACTATTGCATGAAGTCCCATATAACACATGTTCTTTTCTTATTATGTTACTTGCAACTTTGACTGAGCTAAATCAGATTACATTTTGATGAGTAGTTCTTTCTCTGTTTAGACTGTAACCCCCTCAATGCAAAAAAAAACAAAAACAAAAGTTACAGATTATGGTCAAAAGAAGAATCCAGAAGAGGGAAGTGGGGAATTACTGTCATTTTATACCAAAACAAACTTTATGTTCTGTTGAAATTAATAAATGTCTCAGCTGACCAACCTTAGCAATTACTCCAACATTTGCCCTATAAAACCCCAAGCAAAACACATCCAAATCATCCATCATCTCAGCCCTGAAAAACATATTCAATTATTAGAAAAACCCAGAAGAAGAAAAAACATGGCCGACAAGGGCTTTGAAGCCCATCAAGCAAAGATCGCGGAGGTCCAGGCCATGTTGGAGAAGGTGAACAAGGAGATTAGGGAGATGGAAGTAACCTTGATGCTGCTCGAATGCATCGGAAACGAAGATAAGATCAATAGCCTTAGCGATGCCGATTGGAATGACGTGATCGACTTGGCCCAGAAACAAATGCTGGAACTCTGTCAATGTATATATAAATCGTAACTTTCCCCTACTTGTAATGGATTCAAGGAGCAACATTATCTAAAAGTTTTTTACTTATAAAATGTAATTTAGAATATTAGTACAACACATGAAAGATAAACAAAGATGTTACATGATCACAAATAAAGTTGTGACTTACGTATGCTATAAAATTAATTTGGGTTGAATCAGAACTCCAAACTCTATAATCTCAACTAGTTCATAGGTGATAGAGTAATAATTCATTTTATTCAAATAGTAAAAACCTCCAACTCCATCATGAAACTCGGGAAAACACATATGGTTACCAATAGGGTGTTGTCAGCAAATGATGCACTATGGCTGGTAAACAAACTCTTGTTTGGCAAATCTAAAACTTGTTAATATTGTAAGACTTCACGTTATAAGCACATGTTGTTGATTCCATTATATGTGCACTACTACTAGTTTCTTATTATTTTCGAGCAAGAAACTTTGGCATATCTTTTTCCAAAAGTCTTTCATAATTTTTTTTTTTCTTGGAACACAATATAATGATTTTGTAAATTTTTTTTTTGTTTTTTGGTTTTTTTATCGTCCTTGTTTGGATGAAAAACACCAACATTTCTATCTTTATCTAGATATGAATATCATGTAAAACTTTTATAAATTAAATGTGGTTTTGAATGTACATGTGCTTCTAGGGCATAGCAAACCACGACGAAGATTAGATAAACGTTTTTTTTTTAATTTCTATTTTTAATCTCAATTATCATGGAATTTGACAATTTCTCTCCAAAATAGTCTCCATTATAATGATTTCCATGTATATAACATGACACGTTTCATTTATCATAAAATGGAAAAGAAAACAACTATGCTATAAATAATATTAAAAAAAAGATAATTGTGATCTTGGTCTAGAAACTGTTATATAGTCTTACGTATTTCAAATTTTAACGTATGATGTAACCAATACTTGAGTAGGACGGGATGCTGTATTGAAGCTCTATCAAACTTTTTAGTCGAGTTAAAGTTGTCAGGTTGAATAATTTACATCGTAATTAGATTAATTATATTACATCGTACAATCACACACACACACAACACACACACACACACACACACACACACACACACACACACACACACACACACACACACACATATATATATATATATATATATATAGACACACACACACACACATTGATTTAGCCATATCACGTGATCATCCAAAGTTTCATTTGCAATAAAAAAAAAAAAGGCATGCTACTACTTACCCAACTATGTATAAGAGAATTATACAATCACAATTCTTGCTATGACGTAAAATATGTAATCATATTATTGGTGATAATCGTACCACTTTTTGTAAACTAATAAAGGGAAAGAAAGTCATTTCATTAATAATTATTTTCCAGTTTAATATGGTGATCTATATATTTCACATTTTGTTGATATGGAGATGATATTTAGTATTTTATTTATATGTCTATTTATTTTTCTGTGAACTTTATTTATTTCTTATTTTTGAGAAACTTACTGTCTCAACGATATCTACGAGCATCTCAATCAAAATAATTTGAACTAGACGTACTAGATTAGCAACAGTATACATAATTGAAGGATCTGATTAAATGATTTTGAAGGGTTGCTCCTAATTATTAACTGAATATTTAAGATTGACTTTGAACTATTCAAATGAACTAATAAAAAAAATAAAAACAGTTCCTTGTTTTACAGTTAAATTTTTTTATTGATTTTCATGAGTTGATTAGAACTTGTGAAAAAAGGGTTCTTCAATGGATGTACTAAATCAAAGACTCGCATGAAGGCATGTTTGATTGGTAGAGGGTGTCATTAAGTATAGGATTATCATAACTATTATTATGCCCTTAAAAAATTATTAAATTTAATTATAATTTACGCCTTTATTTGAATATTACAAAACTATAGTCACGTTAATACCTTTTACCTAGTTAAATAAGAGATAAATCCTTGTGTATCCAGAGATCCATTTCTTGCATATGAAGTTAGAAAAACTATATCAATGTACACATAGATCGATTCGTATTGGTGATTCGTAAAAGTTCAATTTTTATTACATATATGCGTGTTAGTAAACTTTGCCTACAAGAATGGATCCTCAAATTTGTACTTCTTTTTGTAACAAATATTAGTTACTCTAATTTTTTTATTTTTCATCCTTATACAAATCACTTCACCTCGCCTAATATTTATCCATTAATATGCAATCCTAATTGCTTACACGTCAAGAAATATTTTAGTAACATAGATGATACAAATGGTTATAGCTCACCTTCTTGTGAAACCTCATCAATCCACTTTAGTTTATTGATAATTGAGCCTTTGTCGACATTAGATAAAGAGATATTATAAACATTTGTATTTGCAAGATTAATAAGAATACTCAGTAGAGATATCTTTTTGAAGAACACCATATATGAGTTACTTTTAATTATTCACAGCTTAGTCAAATTTTTACTGATTTTTTTTTCAGTAGAAATGAAGCCCAATTAATGTTACACAAATCTTTTACATAAACATTAGTTTAAAGAGAAGTGCCCTACTTTAAATCATAAGTCTTTTTTTTTTTGTTTGTTTGTTTTTCTTTTGTAAAGTCTGACTAAATTCTTGAACTCAAAGGAAAATTCTGGCACAAAAACATATATAGGAATTTTCTGCTGGTAATTGTTCCTCGTAACCATATTGACTTTGTCTTGAAATCCTGCTAAATCGCCAGCATGTCGACAATTATCTCTAGCTAAGGTTTATTTTTGTCACCAAAAACTATTTTCTAATTGAATTAGTGTGCTAAATTAAGAATAGTTTTTTTTTCCTACTCCAAACATGTTTTAATTGGGTAACAAATTAGTGATGACCAATAGTGAATACAATTTATTAAAGTGGTGACTACCATATTTGCCATGAAAAAGACATATTGATATGCTTCAATCACATTCATGAAATCAATGAGACATAGGTTGTAATTACTGATGCATTGTCGATTGAAAGATTTCAACAAAGATAGTACAATATTGCTCTAGTAACTTTTTAGGTGATAATTTTTGACGTCGTTCCTTTCATTAATGATGTTGATTTTGGAGATGGCTCACCCCATTACATTACAGTTAAATAAACAAAAGTGATATATCCAGTGACATATATTGAAATGAAAAAGTAACTATATATAAGTGAATAAGCTAATTTTATAATCTGTACATTTTTCGTGAAAGATTTTACATCAGGACATAAATAGGTTTAAGAATAACTTCGATTGGTTTTGAGGTAGTCTGATCTTATTGTGGCTCATCATTTTTCTTTTGACTTGTTGAAAATCTAAAATTCACGACTTTTACTATTGCATGAAGTCCCATATAACACATGTTCTTTTCTTATTATGTTACTTGCAACTTTGACTGAGCTAAATCAGATTACATTTTGATGAGTAGTTCTTTCTCTATGAAGACGGTAACCCCCTCAATACAAAAAAAAAAAACAAAATCAAAAGTTACAGATTATGGTCAAAAGAAGAATCCAGAAGAGGGAAGTGGGGAATTACTGTCATTTTATACCAAAACAAACTTTATGTTCTGTTGAAATTAATAAATGTCTCAGCTGACCAACTTTAGCAATTACTCCAACATTTGCCCTATAAAACCCCAAGCAAAACACATCCATATCATCCATCATCTTAGCCCCGAAAAACATATTCAATATTATTAGAAAAAAACCCAGAAGAAGAAAAAACATGGCCGACAAGGGATTTGAAGCCCATCAAGCAAAGATCGCGGAGGTCCAGGCCATGTTGGAGAAGGTGAACAAGGAGATTAGGGAGATGGAAGTAACCTTGATGCTGCTCGAATGCATCGGAAATGAAGATAAGATCAATAGCCTTAGCGATGCCGATTGGAATGACGTGATCGACTTAGCCCAGAAACAAATGCTGGAACTCCGTCGAAACGTAGCCAATCCGAACCTTCAGGATTCTGAAGAAGCTGATCAACCGCCGCCACCCGGAGAAGGAGTTGACCCTGGTCTGGCTCCTGCTCTGGCCGACGGCGAAAAGGTTAAGGTTCCGGCGGAGACTGTGGTTGATGGTGATGATGCACCAACCAAGAGTGGCTAACTATATATAGCAAGTTTATAGGTTGTAGTCCATTTCATAGAACTGTTGTTTTATTTTGATTTTTGCGTTTTGTTCTTGTATTAGGGTTTCAAGGATTGAATCTTGAGTCTGTCTGTCTGTTTTTTTTTTTTTTCAATTAGTTGTTCTTGTTGTTGTTCAATCGTGTAAACAGTTTCTTAATGAATGGACTTTTTATTTGTTGTTGTTGAAAGCGCTTTGTGTTTGAATTAATCTTTCATGTTTGTTATATATCAAGACTGCTTATATGTATATAAAATCGGATCGAAACTGATGAGACTGAATATTTGATGATTTCAAAATTGGATCTAATGAGACAGTCAAGTGTACCAGAGAAAAAAAAAACTGGTAATATAATTCCGCCAAAGTAAATTTCGGATGTGGGGTTTTTGGGTACGACAAAAGGTATAATAAACCTAAGTTACAAAATCTGCTGGAGATACCGGCCGATTACATCATATTTCAATCACAAACGTAATTTGAAGTTAAATTTCTGGAGCTAATATTATATATCATTTATGTCCTTTTTAATGATAAACCATATTCTATATATATATATATATATATATATATATAAAAGCTAATATTATATATCATTTATGTCCATTTTAATGATAAACCATATTCTCTATATATATGTATATTTATATATGCAAATGTTGTGTTAAAAAAGGAAAAACACTCGCAATCAGTCAAAGAAAAGATATCTAAGGGCTTCGTTACAGTGATTTACTACTTCAGTCTTTCTGGTCATTATTTGATTTTTTTTTTTTTTAAGAAAGAAACAATCATGCTGGAGCACTGAAGATTGGGGTTCTGTTTCTTTCAGCTGAAGATATTGAATATATGTAATATGTATTACAAAATAGGAGCAAACCAAAATTCTTTGCAGAATGAAAGAAATTGAGAGCCTAATCAAACTTTTCCACTCTTCTTTTGATGATACCAGCCACTTAAAATTAATCAAATGACACATTACAAAAATAAAAATGACACATTTTTCTTTGTCACTCTTTGCTATGGAGGAAAAAAGAAAAATATAAAAGTTATTGATTTAACATGATGAAAATATGAATAGTTGTAACAAATTGAAAATATCAATCACTACCATAAAAATTCTCAGTCGTATGTAGATTAAATTTTATTGTACTTGATCTACATCAAACTTCTAGCCCCAAATTTTTTATTATATTTTTAATATTCCGTATCTGTTCCAAACTAAACCGCTACATTGTTTCTGTTGCACTATCATTGCCGTCGGAGGCGTGTCTCGGATTTGATTTTGAAAATTTTTCAGGAAAATATAGATTTAACAAATAATGATTGAAGGTAACAAAAAGGTCTTACACTTTTTTGTAGAGTGCGAAGATTAAACATTTAGGATAATACAAACTGAATGTATTCCCGCTTTGTACTAAACTGTGGTTCCTTTTTTATCGTGTTGATATTTAGTCGATTTAGTGATTTGTTCGTAAATTAAAAAAGAATCATTCAAATTTCCACATACATAATAAGCATAAAATTCTCTAGAGTTTACATATGGAATGCATTTCTATCCACAATATGCTATAAATCAGATCTTTTTGACCAAATCACTTGGATTTTCTCCATAGAAATCTGCTCCACACATGATACCTATATATAATAGCCAGAGAATTGCTTCGATTTCAAACCATTTACAAGAGTACTTAGCAATTATTCATCATCCTTTGATTAATTTCAGTAGATTAATTTTCAGTAAATAAAAGATACAAGAGAAAAAATGCAGGCAATCAAAGAGAAACTCAATGACATGAGCCACATGCGCAAGGCTAAGGCTGAAGCTAAAGAGGAGGAAAAGGTAACAAAAAATCAACCCGATTAATTTTTCCATATCCTTTTTGTTCCTTGGTTCCCAATAATCACTAAAACATGATCTCAAATACTTTATCTATTAGAGTCACAAGGACGGTTAGTTGAGAGTATTTTTTTTTTAATTCTTAGTTATCTGTCTACGACATTTGATTAGTCTATAGGTTAATTAGCGAATTATATGGGTTGTTCCTCAAGTTTTTTGATATGATAAAAACAACATGTAGATCGTAACATATGTAGAAAAACTCAGATTTTAGATTTTAGGTCGTATTCCAGATGGCACAGTTTAATTGTTGATAGTGGTTATTTCTCGTGTTAGAAAGTCAACGAGTGAGATTTGGATTTTGAACAGTAACTTTAATTTATTCAACGTACATTAATTCATGTGCTTGACTGTATTTATTGATCAAACAACAGTTGAGTGCGTAATGACATGACAGAAACAGACATTGCTTAGTCTTTCTCCAAAGAATTGTTACCTTCTTGGCCTGTATAACGGTTGTAATATAGGTTAATAGTAATGACCAAATGGCTCTATGCCCATCTTTGACCATACTAGACATCATGGAATTGAAAAGAAAAATAAAAATCTCCTCCATTTATACAGCAAAGCTAATGTCACTATGTGATGAAGTCTTTCTTTTTTAAGAGTCAAATATCCCGTTGAAAGTAAGGAGATTACATTACAAAATTAAAACAAAAAAAAAAATTATGTTTATCTTCTTTTCCCTTTTACCAATGACTTTTAACTTTTTTTTAAAAAACGGTAAATGCATCATCTGTTTTACATTTTCTATTTTATCCATCAAGTTGAAATATTCCATGTAAAAAGTATACGTTGATGAATAAATTTAAATTTTTTTAAAAAGTGATGAATATTTCTTTTCTTTTTTTAAAAAAAAAAAATCAGGAAGAGAAGGAGATGGCTAAAACAAGAGTTCAAGTCGCGAAAGAAATCAGGATGGCAAAAGAGGCAGAAGCCGCCATGGATTTGCATGTTTCCAAGGCGGCAGAAAAGGTGGCACAACAAGAGGCCAAATGCGCCCACAACCTTCCAACTGCTGAAGCCATCATGGATGATCATCACGGCCACCACGGCGGTGCCGCCGGCAGCATGGGCCATTCCGCCAGTATGACAAACGATCGCCACCATGACACCGGCGGCGATCACGCTCGTGGGGCAAGTGCCCCTGTCTACTCAACGGGAGCTAATAGCCTTATCTAAGAGGGACATTATTGATCATTATGAAGCATTAGTAGTGCTATTAATTTTTGTTGATTTCATGTTTCCCCATTCCAAGTTTCTTCTCACACTTAATTTAACTATTATCAAGTGGGAAGATTTGTTTCCCTTCACATTTAGATTGGATTTTGTTGAAATTCTTCTCAATTGAATGAATGTCGTGTGTAATTTATTTTCCTTTGAGAATTGAGATGGTTGTAGGAGATGGTTATATATGAACCTATATCGTTTTCAGACGATTAGCTAGTGATGGTAAATTGTGTTCGAACAAATGAAATATGTAGTCAGATCGTCTATTTAACTTCTATGTTATCTTAGCGGAAAAAAAAATCTTTAAAAACTCTAGGATGGTCAGAAAAGTTCTTAACTAATTAATCCGTTAAGAGGGATTAAGCTCAATGGCAGAACTGTTAAGGGATTGGGTACTGAGCCCCCGGTCGGCCGGAAGGCTCGTTAGGCGTAGTTATAATTTACCTTCCACCATATATTTTCGTCCATATTTTCCGACCATAAACATATAATCAGTCCCTCCAAATCCGAGCAGTTGGTTCCGCCACTGATTAAGCTGGCTACAGTATTGATCAAAATTTTGTTTTACTTTTGATTGGAATCGTGACACAATTTTGGTAACTTGAAAAGAAAGAATTACATTACGTAATACATCAAGCTTACTATTTAAGATTTACGCCAATCTTTCCTCTAGTTCTTTGAATTCAACAATTTTTTCCCCCTTTTTTCTTTCTTCTCTTTAGTTGGTATGACCTCTGCAACTTTGTGGATCCTTTTTCACAGGTAGGTTATAACCTTCTCAGCTCAATTACGCCTTCATGCAAAAGGATCCACAATGCAATTGATATCTGTTTTCACATTTTGAATCTGCATGGAATGACGACCATTTGGTACAAATTTTGTTTTGCATGTATAAATTATAATAATTTCTTACTCTAATTTACGTATAGACCTGTGAATATTACTTCAATCTCCTTGTGATTAAAATACAACACTTATCCAGAGTAAAATTTTGTACAAACAAGAAGAAGAATATGGAAGGTCTTCAACAGCCCAAATGATCTACTAAATTTAATTATATCGTGATTGGAACACGCCGCAGCCAATCTTTTTGAGCCGTGCACTTAATGTCTTAATTTAATTTTTTTTATTACGTGATAGTCTCTCTTATTTTATGTAATAAAGTATTCACTTTGTCTAGAAAAAATAGGTCAGATTGCGTTCTGTGAAGTACAAATCACAAAAAAAAATAAAAATAAAAATGCGGGATATTCATTTGGTTGGATGGAGTACTTTTTCTGGTTTCAGGCTTATAAAGCGCTCCTTTTTTTTTTTTTTTGGGTTAATAGTTAGATCAAATCATTGTGGGTTGTAGGAGTTGAATTAAACTTGTTGTAGCAAAACATAAAATTTTAAAAAAATGTGTGCTCCTTTACTGTACAATGCAAAAACGAATAGGTAATTTCAGAAGGATTAAAATGAAGAATATTTTTTTAATTTTAAGATTCCAGTTAGTGGACATTTTTAACGGCATCTAAAATCTATAACAAATTATTATTTTAGTAATCTACTTCTTTCATTGTACCAACAAATATATAATTTTATAAAGAGATCCATTTTTCCAATACCACAGAAAAAGAAAAAAGTAGAAGATATTGTAATAGCAAACAACATTTTGTGTGCACTAAATATGCAATTGAATTACATAATGGAACAAGCATTAGGATTTTCATCACTAAACAATTGGGGTGCATATACATAATGGACAAAATATAGGTTATCTCCATCCTTATTTTTCACACCAACTTTCTCTACTTCTTTAAATTCAACTATTTTTTCAGTGACTTTTACTTCAACTTTTTCTTTCTTGTCTTCCTTTTTCTCTTCTTTCTTCTCTTTGGGTGGTATGACTTCTGCAAATTTGCGGATTCTTGTTCGCATATAGGTTATAATCTTCTCTTGCTCAACCACGCCTTCAATGGTTACAGTTTGGGCTTTGATGTCTGTTTTCACATTATGAATGCCTGCATGGAAATAACGATCAATCTCGAGCTCATCCTTACAATTCGACCAACCCTAACACACTTTATTTTGAATGAATATTAGTGAATCCTTCAACTTAAAATACTACTTCTGTTTCAAAAAAATTATAAATATTGAGTTTTGAGATTTATACTAATTTTAGTACAAATTTAAAAAATTCAATGTGGACTTTTTTATTGGACGGAGGGAGTGATTGATTTGAACGCTAGGGTTGGAAAACGAATTAATTTCTTAAAATTTACTCATAAAAACATAATGTAAAATACCTTTATGTCTTAATAATCTCCGCTTTAAATTGCGATCACATTCCGCACAGTGTATGTAAACCTTCATTTGTATCGTCTTTATGGTTTCCTTCGATAAACAAAAAAAGTTTCATAGTTACATTAAACAAAAACGTTGCAGAAGATAAAGGGGAAACTTAATTAAGTGAGTTTATTTCCACAATGATTTTATACTGATTGCTGCTGTTAATTGCCAACAACGGGTGGTTTCTCATCAGATTTTATTACCTTAAACTATCAATAATCCTAAAATATCTATAGACAAAGACAACGTGCCTACTTATGTCTTTGTGCGTAGCTCGACGCAGTATATAGATATTGTAATTAAATTAAGAACTGGAAAATATTAATGTACGTACTAACCTTTTTGGCATCCTTTTTCTCTTCTTTTTTCTCCACAACCTTGGTTTCTGATACTATTTCAACTTTCTTCTTGCTCCATTTCTGTAGCCGTGCATGTATCTTCTTTGCCTCAATGGCTCCTTTCACTGTTATTTCATTTTTCTCAAATTTCACGTCTACACTGTGTACTCCTGGCAGCGTCCGAAAGATCGGCATGCATGGAAAAAAAAAAAATAATAATAAATTAAGTTAAATAGTTAAAGTAATTTTTAAAACACGATAATTATTATAGAACGGGAAGAATACCTACCGGGAGTTCTAGAGAGAGGTCTCCTAATATCATGAGCACATTGAGGACAATGTAAATTCATTTTGTAAACAACAGTGAAAATTTCAGCTTCTTTCTTCTCCTCCTTCTTTTCTTCTTTTCCCATGGTCACCAAATTAGGAGAATATTCCCACGACGAAGAGAACTGGACAGAATTTGATAAGGAAAATCAATCACACTGCATGGGAGAATGTCGTTATATATGCTGAGAAACGGGAATTGATGAAAGAAATTAAAAAAAAAAAAAAAAAAGGTAGAATGCAAGATGGACCAAGGCAATTTATAACATTGATGATGAAAATAATTAATGATTAACTCTAATTAGCTAGGTTAGCGTTTCTAAAGAGGATTGGTTGGTGAAATCTGATAAAGGTTGTTCGCTAACTTTTGCAAAAAGAAGAGTTTCCATCAAATTTTTTCTTGCCAAAGCTTTTTACTATAGGTTACCATGACTGACAAGAAATTTGAGAACAAGTTTGTACCTAAAATATGCACCTGTTAGGTATATATAATAAATTGCAACAATTGTTTATTATGAGCACAAAAAGCCATCATTAAATTGATTATTAAAGTGAAAATGTGTAACACTGGCGTTGAGAAATTAAGTATTGTCTCAAACGATTTTCTTTTTTAATTTCACATAATATCTTCACCAGAACCATGTTTGGTCTGCGTACTCAAAAGCTTGTTTTGGGAACATGATTAATTCCCATAAGTTTTTTTTTTTTTTTTTCTGTGTGTGTGTGTGTCTTTTTTTCTTCTTCTTTTTTTTTTTTTTTGGTTTAAATAAATTAGGTACCTGATAATTATTAGCCTCCTTGTAATCTAAGTATTGACTCTACCTCCTCATAGTGGAGAAATTCCATTATTTAGTTTCTTATTCCAATCAGATATAGTATAAAACTGCACATAAATCTCTTTCAGTTAACCGGCCAAATCAACACAGGAATGTCTTGTTGCTGTTACTGGGAGAAAAGCATGACAGTGTAAATATACAGCCAAATTGGGTTACACCTTTTGTGCAGACTGCAGAGGGAATCATGGAAACTAGCTGCCACGATATGTGGAGAAAGCGAAAGGAGACAGAAGCAGAGGGACATGGAAGTGTTGCCACATCTGGGACTCCCTAACTTCAAAGACAATAGACACATACGGGAAAAAACCATCAGGATTGTATTTACCAGTGTTGAAGCTAATCCTGTAAAGCCCTGGGTTGAAAATCTCATCCTGCGTGAACATTGGACCACTTCTTCCATCTTTATCTGTCATTGTCCGTGCTTTAACTATCCAGTCACCTTTAATGTTCTGATGGAACACCGATGGTGGTTCGTTGCCTACCCAGTATTCCAACTGCACTTCAATGCCAATAGCTGGAGAGCCTCGTGCAGTGTCCAGAACATGGGTTGTGATAGGAGGGCGTGTTCTTGGGGGAGCTGGAGAAGGTAATTTTACAGACACTTCACTAGCAGCAGGAAAATGTGCTCCAATCACACTCATCCGATCTTCTACAGTTTAAGAATCAAAGTCATTCACTGCATGAGATGAGTTTCAAAGAATATACTAAATAGAATCCAAGAGACAACAAACTAGCACAAAAGTTTAAGACTCAAGGTTAATATAGACCAAGAATCACAACCACCTAATGCCTAGTTCAGATTTGCACATAAGCAGAATTCTGTAAAATAAAACACCCTAAAGTAAAACTATTTTAGGTCAACTATCACGCTAAATCGTAGAGAGCACTAAAGTGGAGCAAGCTTATCCCCACAAAGCCAAACTAACATGCTTTCATTGACATTAAGAGAACTTCAAGTAACAAATTACCTCCCGCTTTTGTCACAATGTTGGTGGCATGCTCTGCCTTGTTTTTTGGAGCTGCATCTACTGTAACTGAAAATAGCTTAGAAAGACGTAATTCTGTTATTTTCATTTGCTCCTGGGCAGCAATCTCAAACTCAGCCAGTGGCCTGTTGTGGTAACGCCTCTGTCAAATAAGAAAATGCATTGGAGACATGGAAAGAAAACAATAAGTTGCTCATGTAGATATGGAAAATAATTTGAGGGTTCTCCTCAATTTCTTAGGGTTTCTTTAATTATTTTTTTTTTATATCTTGTATCTGTTTTGTAAAACCAAAGCATAAAGGATACAAAGGAAGCTACACTACATAGTCAATTACAGAACTGAGAATCCGACAAAAAAAATTCATGGCCAAATTAACATTTATGACCATCACACAGGAAAATTCACCTTCATTTCTCCAAGAATCTCAGGAGTACTTCTTCCAGCTGCACATATCAGAAAGATGAAGCCAAACTTTTGTCTGTAACGAGCATTCCACTCAACTAGCTCCTGCAAAATAGAGGAGGAGCCAGTAATACATGGAATGAGGCACAAGCTAATGTAGTGTAAAATTAGATAAGTATGAGAATAGTGATCCCTTTACAATCCTCAATAAAGAAGGTCAGTGAATGGCAATGACTTGCACTCCAAATAAGAGAGCTGGTGTATCAAGAACTCAAGATATTTTAGATTACCTGCAAGCTAGAATCAGTGGCAGTTGCTAAAGCTGTTGATTGTTCTCCCTTGCTCCAGCTGCAAAAGTACAGACCATTTTTTAACATCTGAGATTACATAGCTTTAGAGACATGCAGAGAAACATATAAGCAACAGAAGAGAGCTTCAGTAGTATCATTTCAGCATTCCTTTCATCCATAATACCATGATTAGATTTTATCGCAAAATTGAAGTCGAAATTACGCAAAAGTAAACAACAGATCTATTAAATAAAAATGGCAAAGTAAAGCCTTCGAAGTTTTGTATTCTGAATGAACTCACAAATGTGAAGACAAGACCAAACAGAAACAATGGCTTCCACAGTCCTCAGCTTGTTTGCTCCCCAACGAAGCAATGACAAGCTGTCATATAAACTTTCTCATTCTCTCTCCCAATCAAACATCTAAGAGGTCTAATCCACAGATATTCAAATTTCAGGAGTAAAATGATCAACTATGCCAACTTATCCTTACGCATCAAAGAAACAACAGTGACTTTTCCGCCAATCACTAAATAGCCAAAAAAGGGCTCGATGAATTATTGATGATACATTCACCTAAAACAACAGCAACGTGATTTCATTCACAAAACCAGTAGCCAGGTAAAAATGAATCCAAAATGTTCTGTATCTCATCTGACTACGGTGTTATTCCACTATAAGCGAAACTAAAGAAACTTAGCACAGAAAGCATCAAAATCTTTCGAACATCCCAAATGAGATCTTTATCAACAACTTAAAGAGACGACATTCATCATCAGATAGATATAAATCACTTCTCCAAAGAGAGGCAAACAGTTATCTAAGAATTGACTGAAGATCACCAAAAACTAATTCCGAAGTTGACACTAATTGAACTTAAGAGAACCGATCACATCATTCCATATCCTAGAAATCTGTTGTCTGATCTACTTTGCCAATACAATTCACTACATATCTTACATATTCTCAACAATTCACTCCATAATGAACTGAAACAAAAGAGAGACGGAAAACGAACTTAGCACTTGCACTGCTTTTGCCTTTCTGAGAAGGGCTTTCACCAATCTTAGGATGAGTTGCAAAAGCTTCCAGCCAGCCATTTACATCAACCTACAAATCAACATGTCAAAAAAAAAAAAAAAAAACACAAACCATAAAAATATCCATTATCATAGAACTCATAAAGATGAGATGGAAATAGATACAGAAAAAGGATGGGAGGACCTTCTCGAACCAGATGTCTCTAGCAGCATCAATGGCCTGCTGACAATCGGAAAAGGGCCCAGCCAAAACCATCTCTTGAGCGAATTTTGTGCTTCCACAGCATGACAGGAAATCTTTCTCATCAAACACTCTCCCTGATTCCATCGTTCCACAGAGAAAGGCAGTCACTTTATTCTAACTTTGTGCTAAACTGAAAGCAAGACCAGAAATTCCTATGGATTTTGCAGTGGTAACTGTTTGATTTGGTTCAGAGCAACTGAATTATCAGTGTTGGTCAATATATTTTCTCTTCTTTATTTTCCATTTTTTTTTTGGCTTTATTCCTTTCGGGGAGGTTAGAGTTTTGTATATAACCCAAAAAATAAAGGTTGAGTTTTGTTGGTTGGAGCATAAATTAACAGTGAAACTACGTCGTTTGCACCTGATGTCATGTGCTTAAATTAAAATTGCCTGGTAACACTATCAAAGAAAGCAGACTATCTTTCATAGCCATGTCTACACGGATAACCATGGCTGGAACAGCTCTGAGCAAGGCAGACATGGACCTGGTAATTCTGTTTCCCACTCAAAAATGGTGTCTTTAATGATATTTTTGCATCTTTATCTTGCTCTTATTCTGTGTTTTGTATTTAGAGTCGGGTTACTTTGCAAAGACTGAACTTTATGCCTATCTAGGATTCATGCCTTAAAATAATTGAACCACCAGAATTTGCTTGTTTCTTCCCGTTGAGGTTTGTTTTCTTTATTGTGAATGATGGGATTCTGCTAGAATGTTGGATGGTTTTGCATTTACAGTTCTTTGTGATCATGATTGCATGATTTAGTACATCAATAAAGGGGCTTTAAAGTTTTGGAGTTTGGAGTAGATAGTGATTTTCTCTTTGGCGACTATTAATTTATGGTGCGTAGCTTGGCTTTTTTAATTTTTTACTGAGTTTACTGATCATGGGTTCTGGCAGGTTTTGGTGGAGGAAAAGTCCAGTGCAAGAACACTTATATTGAACAGGCCTAAGCAACTGAATGCATTGAATTACCCGATGGTATGTGTTGTTTTTTTCTTTCCCTTCCTCGTGGACGTGCTTGAGTTTTAGTGCTTCTTTTCCCTTTTCTTTTCTTTTTCTTTCTTTAAAGATTATAGTTGTATAAACAGATATCCATCTTTTGCACGGAATTTTATGGGGATATGCCTTTGAAATTGGTAATGTGCACTATGTTTAGCAGTAATGTTCAAAAAGTTGGTCTTTTAATCTTTGAAAAGTAAATTTTAACTTCTGGTACTGTCTGAAACTGTAATGCTATGTCGAGAACCTTGATTGGCTGGGCTCCGGCACAAGCAGAAGGTTGTACTTTCTTAGAATCCCCAAGTTAATTTCTTAACCCTCAAGTTTCAAGTGAACTGTGCATCAGTAAGCAGACTTTTGTCTGCAGATTAACATGGTTTGCCTTCGCTCCTCGGTAGCACCTGAGTATCCTTTTACCTATACTGTCACAATAAGGTCCATCATGTTCAAAAGTGGCGTTCAGGTGTACTTCAATCTTGTCGTTGATAAATGTTTCCCGTGTAGGTTTTCAAGGATCATTTAGTGACAGTTTTTGCATAGTGATTAGTGTCTCTGTGTCTTAAAGGAGTGTATACTGTGTGCCTAGGATAAATATATCTTGTTTTGGAGTTTTGCATGTTAGTCAAATACTTCTTGTATGGCGTAGGCTTTGAATTTTGCTATTTGTTCCTTTTCTTATTTTGTATCTTTATTTTATTTTATTTTTCTTTTAAACATAATGTACCCTTATTTATGCATTTATTTTGCTTGACAAAGTATTGTGGATAAATAATTACTGTTCAGCCTTTTTTCTTCTCACGCCATATTATCCTGTCTACCAGCTGTGAAGCTCCTCAATTCCTTTGGCTGAATTGTATTTCTAGCCTGTACCATTTGTCCTTGCACTCTATTTTGTTATGAATTTTTCTGAAATTAGTAACCTTGTCATACATTTCTTCTTTTCTGGGTTTCAGATTTCTCGGCTACTTGACCTTTACCTTGAATTTGAGCAGGATCCCAATGTGAAGTTAATCGTCATGAAGGTACTTTTCACTAATTTCCACTAGCAAATGGTTTTTCTATATGTGCCAATGCTTTTATCAGAATGGTGTTTAGTTAAATGTTGTCCTTGTTGGTTTTCCACTTAAAAAGTGCTGCCCCTGAATATAAATCAAATGATGTTTTTGTATAGCTCTCCTAGTTAACAAATTTTATGATTTGATTCAAATTAATGCCATAATAGGGAACAGGAAGAGCTTTCTGTGCAGGAGGTGATGTTGCTACTGTGGTTCGTGATATCAGTCAAGGTGGATTCTTTCTCAGTTTTCTCTTTGTTCAACTGTCTTCTTGTTCTTTATTCAATTTCATTTTTATTTTGGTTGGTTTTAACTGGCACACGTTTGATCAACAGTCCGAAACTTAACTCCAATTTATTGTAGATGACCTCAACCTTTTGGAGTTATCTAGGAAAGCCCACGCTGTGTCTTATTTTGAAAATTGGTTTACCATGATGTTAAACATGCCATTGGTGGATTTCATTCATCATAGTAATTTGATGAATTTTCTGCATATTCATTCACATGACGTTCTTAATACATATGTAAATACATCCTTCTCATGAGCAAACTTTTATCTATAACTTCTGAGAACTTGAGAAAGTGATTGTTATCCGTTATCGTTCTGGAGCCAAAACAAAAAAAAAAAAAAAAAGTTATCAGTACTATAAAGGTGGTATATAACTGATTACGACATTATCCCTGAGTATGTTCTTCAAAATAACTTGCAAATTTCAAATATTAAAAAAATACTTGGCAGCTGATTAATTATCACAAAATTCAGAGCTCAGAGCTATTGTCGACGAATTCCTATGTCCCTTTACGATACTTTCCTCTTAACACTTTCTACCTTAACAATCTAGAACTTCAGATTTCATTCAGAATTATAAGTGACTATAACTGACTTCACAGTATCTCGTTATCTGTATCAGGAAATTGGAGATTAGGTGCTCATTTTTTCCGAAAGGAGTTCACCTTAAACTTTTTGATAGCAACATACAGTAAGCCGCAGGTGCTCATTTATGATTGCAATGGAATATTTTCACTTTCACCTTTTTTATTTTTGAAGGATGATATGGAAGTTTCTTCACTTCCTAATTCTCACATTGAGCTGATATACCTATCTAAGGTTTCTACACTTAATGGAATTGTCATGGGTGGAGGCGCTGGTGTTTCGGTTCATGGTAGATTTCGGGTTGCCACGGAAAATACGGTACTTTACATTGTCCTATTATACTCTACAGGATAAGATTTTATGGTGTAGGTTCGAACTTTTATTTGTATCCTACTAATGAATTGGCAACCTCAGTACAGCTTCTTCTGAGCTTTTATATTTTATGTTCTATGCTCCATTTTTTTCCCCCTTTCTACCTTTCAAATTTGAAATTGTGTCTGTCAACTCCGTTATGGGAATGTAGGACTTACCTGTAATTCATTTACACTTTCGAACTCTGTTACGGTTGCTGCTTTGTGCATCTTTTGAAACTGAGTGTGTATTTTTCCTTTGTTGTATGCTTTCAAATCTAACAGTTGTTGGCTTGTGTAACAAGCTGAACTGTGTTTTCTTGTTTCTGTCATGTTTTCTGCAAAGTTTGTAAACAGTCTTTTTTTTTTTTGGTTTATATTCTCATTTCATTTTGACATTTGATCTAAGAAGTTGAAGAAATGAATATTTTGACTGGGAAGAGTACCAAATTGAAGGCAAGGAAAAAAAAAAAAAAAATGAAGAAGCTTCATGATTCTTTGTAATTGCTTACTGTTGAATACAGTAAACACTTAAAAAAAAAAAGAAGAATACAGTACACACTAACTTTTATCAACATGCCTTTAATCCAAATGATTGTTTCAGTGCTTTCTCATTTTTCACTTATGTCAAAGAAAAATATACGTATTTTTCATTTGCTTCTTTAGAAAGACGTCGGTCATGAACGCAGGAAATTTCAATTGGATTATAATTTGTATTTTACCAGCTTCAGGAGGAAGTTCAAAGAGTCAAGCTAATCACCTTCAACTTAATAATACACCTAAATACAACACCTTTGGTTACACCTTATCATTTTTCTCTTTTAAAACTTAGACTGGCCAGCCAGTTTCCAATATAGTCACAAAGTATCCCAAACAGGTCTTGGCTAACCTTATTGTTCATCTTCTGTGGAAAATCTTGATCATGTTTGAATGGGTTGTATGACATGCTTTTTCTATCTGCACTGCAGATGGATTTAGTTCAATTCAAATGTTTTATTTCTGAAGTTGAAACTTGGTTCACTCTGGTATTACAATCCAATTATGTCTAAACATTGCATTTCTTCTGCTAATTCTCCTTGATTTTTTACTTCTAGGTTTTTGCTATGCCTGAAACAGCCTTGGGACTTTTTCCAGATATTGGTGCCTCCTATTTCCTTTCAAAACTTCCTGGATTCTTTGGTAATTCTTGTTTACAATTATCTTCTTTTTGTGGCACATTTATGTGCTTCTGCTAAAAATCTATGATTTCATCTCCTTTGCCCTCTGCATGGCAAACTTGTGCATATACATCGCTCCAAACATGCACGGTATCTATTAAATTTCCATATTTCAGCATAGATTGCCTGTCACCACTCTGTTTATCTTCTTTTCGTGATCTTTCTGTATCTGATGAAAATCTATTTTGTGATTCATTTGTTGTTTTGGATTTGTACTTTGCATCATAGATCCAGAATGTTTACAGCTTTGTGTAATATTTCTGGCAGGAGAATATGTTGGCCTGACAGGTTATAGGCTTGATGGTGCCGAAATGCTTGTGTGTGGACTTGCTACTCATTATGTTCCGGCAGAGGTGTAGTAAGCTGTTTTGACTTCTGCCCTGATTATATTATATTTTGGTTGAGGGGCATGGTTCAAAGTAACTATCCAATTGAATGATTTGCAGCTTATGAGGTGCATGTCCAGTGTGAACTATATATTCAATAACCCAAACATTTTCCTTGTTTTATTAATTTTTCCTTCCACCTCAACTGCACCTTGTATGCTTTCGGTTACCCAAACCAAAGGGAAAAGGGCTGAGTGTTTTCGTTTCAGTTTTCTTTAATTTAACTGAATTAATATGGTCCCACGAATTGTAATGTTCATTTAGCTGTAGAAGGTCAATATAGAAACTCTGAACATATTCAGAACTTGTATTATCATTAGAAATTTCGGTTCGTGAGCCATCAAATCATGCATTTGAAAAACAGTATTCTTTTAAGTTAGGTCTGTAGTTAAAATGGACAAAATCTCTGTAAGCATTAGGCTAAATTTCAATATCATTTCATAAATTCTGAAAGAGGTCATTTTGTCTCTGTTTTATTCTATTTGGTGGTGAATTATGTTTAGGATAATTGAAGTGCTTCTTCTGGATGATTGATGCTGCTAGATTTCATAAATTAAACATAATGAATCTTGTTGCTCCTCTAAAAGACCTCTGTAGGAAATTTAGTTTCTAACTTTTGGACCTCACTTATTCACCCTACAAGACATTTCCTTTGACCAAAGGGAAAGATGTTACTAGTTCTCTTATAGTGCTGAAAATGTGACGCAGGACAAAAACGTGGTGGTTAAGAAATCAGAACTTAGGCTGATTAAACAGTATTATGCAGCGGAAAATCAATAGAAAACTGTAGGGAATAAGGGTAGAAATCGCAGGGACACAGAGATAAGCAGTAGGAAAAGAGAAGAAAACCTAAGAATCACTCTTAGGGCCCTTTGGCGTCACACCGCAGGAATCCTAGGCATCACACCAAGGGTTTAGTTGAGTCACACAACTGATGTTGAAAGCAAAAGCTCGCAGGAATTTTTATTAATCTGATAACTGTCTAAAACCCTCAAACGAGGTACATATATAGAGGCCTAAAACTTATCCTAACCCAAAGACAACTAGGAATCTCACCTAATTTCCTTTTTATTCCAAGAAAATCCTGCAGCATAACTAATATACTAAAATACCCTTTCCTAAATATTAATACTGAAATAAACTAATTAAATTACTGCTTAATAAAGGATTAACTTAACCAAAGTCCCAACACTTTGGCCCCTTCCTTGGATCATGATGATCCTGGGCATAAATATGGAAGAACTTACTGATAGGGTTCTTCTACCATTCCTTGCCCCCATCAAAATGCTTACTTTTAAGCTTTCAAAGGATCCTTATTATCTTGGTTTGCACTGTCTGAATAACTTTAGTGTACAGTTTTTGGATTTGCTTCTTTTGAATCTCATTGTGATGGTTCTTTCTAATGTGGTCCATTTCTGGGCAGAGATTATCCTCACTTGAAGACGCACTTTATGGAGCCAACTCGAGTGATCTTGCAACTATTTCTTCAATTATTGATAAATTTTCACAAGTACCAATTTTGAAAGGAACGAGCGCTTACCATAGGTAAAACCAGCTGTTTTTTTATTATGCTCTTAAGTTGACAATGAGTAACCCTAATCTTAGTAAATTTTTGCTATTATACAAGCTGCAGAAATTGATAACTGACATATCTCCAATCGTAGTGAGCAATGTGATTTAAGTACCATTGATTCTATCATGTTTTCTATGTTCTTTTTTTTCTCCATATCATCTAAAATTGACTTCAGTGCTGCTGATTTTGCTTTTCTGAGTCCAATGGTTTCTAATTTAGCTTTCTTCGTAAATGCCTACTTTAATGATATGACTTATGGCATAATATATTACAATCAAGTGTTGCTGACTTCAAGTATTATTCGTGCTAGTCAGTAAAATAAGCAATCCAGACTAAATTCTAAGTTTCTATTTCAAATCTGGGTTTTTCAACCAAAACCTTTTGTGTTATTGAATTTGTGTCCACTCTTATTTGCTAATGTTGGTTCTTACTTCTACAGGTTGAAGATCATTAACAAATGCTTTGCTCGGAGGACTGTTGAAGAGATTTTATCTGCCCTTGTAAGATTTAGATCCCCATTGTTGAAGGATGATCGTCTCATGTTGTACTTTAACAGGCGATCTATGTTACTCTAAAATTTCTCTGCTTTACTTTTAGCCGAGTCTAACAATCTGTCCTTTAGGAGGGGGAGGCAGCAAGCAACAAGGATGACTGGATCTTATCAGCTATTGACTCATTGAAGAAAGCTTCTCCTACAAGTCTTAAAATTTCACTAAGATCGGTAAAATCCTAACCATTTGGAGAAATTCTTCTGGTCTTGGTCAAGCCTAGCTCTAGGCCACCACCTTTGCATGCATTGTTCCTTAATTTAAATTGATTCTTCTGCTTGCTTAAAATCTATGATGGGCTTGTGTTCAATTTTGTTATTTAATTTAGGATTATCCACCCGCAGTGAAAATTAGTTAAAATATTTTGAGGTAAACAGTGACTTTGTTGGACTATCATATTACTTCTCCTCATGGATTCCAATGGTGAACCTTCTTTCTCTGACCGGATTGTTGACTGCTACTTGGTTCGGTTAGGCCTGTATTTACAATTGCTTGTCACAATATTCACAAGGCAACTCTAAGTCATGCATAGGCTTACGCATTTTTTTGTGGTGGGTGATGAATATGGTTCATGCGTAATTGTTTTTATAACAAACTTCTGTATAATTTGACTGCAATATTTGAAACTGGGACATTAAGAAGGAGAAGTAGTGAATCATGTCCAATTCATGGGGAGTTCATTTAGGGCTTGTGTACTACTTGGAAACTTTGAAGCCTGTAGTGAAAAGTGACAGAACTCAGTTGTCCTTTTTGATGTTCGACACAGATTAGAGAAGGGAGGCTTCAAGGCATTGGGAAATGTCTAGCTCGGGAATATAGAATGGTTTGCCATGTCATGAGGGGAGAAATGAGCAAGGATTTTTTTGAGGTGCGAATCTAATCCATTTTTGTCCTTCTCCTTCCTTTCTCTGATATCCTAATTAATAAACGACAACTTCCTGCAGGGCTGCCGAGCCATATTGATCGACAAAGATAAGAATCCAAAGGTAAATGGATCTGTCTGTCTTTGCTTCAATAATTTTGTAGGTAAACCGTTACTTGATTATGTTCACAAAATGTACAAACATCACTACTCCAATTCTCCCTTTCCATTTCTGCAGTGGCAACCTTCAAAGTTGGAGCTAGTCGACGAAGCTATGGTTGACAAGTACTTCTCCAGAGTACAGGATGAAGATTGGGAAGAGTTAGAATTTCCTCCAAGATCAAACTTGCCAGCACATGCCATTGCAAAGCTCTGAACTTCACCACATTAACTAGAAAGCCACGTTTAACTATTGCAAAATAATTATTGTGTACGGGTACGTGCATAGTTCCTTGTCATGTATTATGGAGGTAACATAAACACTTGTACAAATAAAGGAATAAAGGACGATGAAACCCAAAAAAAAAAAAAAAAACCTCATACTAGCTATTTTCATCAGTGCCTACAATCTGTAGGTTTAGGGTTTAGGGTTCAGTATTCAAGGTTGCGACTTGCTACTGATAAGTAATCGGTGTATTCTTCATAATGTACCATCCGGGATCTCAATCTGCTTTCTCCTCTTGAGTTTCTTAGGCAACTTAAAACGGAGCAGATCAACGGCGCCGGATTCGTCAAAGCTTCTCTCCGCATTTAGCCATTCTTCCAGAACCATTGCCCTTTTCTCTTTCGACTCCAGCTCAACCGTTGTGAAGTAATCCAGCGCCTCCGCTGAATTCCTTGTTCCTTCTTCTTCTTCTACTCCAAGTGTACTACTATATCGTCTCTGGGTTCCTTCAAGGCAATAATATGGCATCAAAGAGTTGAACAGAGTGATCTAAATCAAACACCATTTAAAAAAAGCCTACTGTCTTCATGCACACATGTATGTGCTATCGTTTACGACATCTCATGCAATAAGATGGGTGATAGAAAGTCTATTTTGATGAATCATAACACAAAACTAAACAAATAACTTTTTGATCTTTTTTTTTTTTTTGGCTACTAGCTAGGGAATGAGGCAATAAGCCTAAAAACCAGTGTTTGCAAACTCGCGATCTAGGATGATTCTACGATCCTAGGTCACTAAATCGATACTGAATCGATTAAACTTGTTTTTTGCGGTAGGATCAAAGCAGGATTGTACGGGATCGGAAAAACTCGTAGAATCATGTTGGATCGTTCGAGTCCACCGATTCAGCCTCTAAAAAATTTGTTGGGTTTGGTTTACTTCAATTCATGAAAAAAAGCTTTAAGAAGAAGATGAAAAGAATGATAAAGTTGAAGAAATTGAGTTCTTTAGAATTGTTTAGGAGGATTACTCCATCAGAATTGAGAAAAGGATCTCGTAGTTTATATGCTCTGTTTTTTTCTCTCGCCGGAACTCTTCTGCTAACACGCGACCTTGAGGGAGAAAAAGAATGGTCAATTGGTCAATGACTCAATTGATGACATAAGCATTTCTTTAGTTTATGTTTTGTGTTTGGTCCACGACATTTTTCTCTTCTTAATCTTAATCATAATTTTTAATCACTCTAAAATAATCATACACAACTTATTAAGTACTAGTAGTTTGTAACTGGAACATTACTTATGCTATTGTCTGTCATATTATTGATTAAACAAAAAATTACAATTATCGCCCGTATTTTAGTTAGAAATTAGAATGAATGCATTATACAGCTTTAAAAAAATCTAAAAATTAGTGTTAGTAATTGTTTATAATATATAAATTTTTAAAAAATTTACGATCTTACTTTTTCGATCTTACCGATCCTATTTACAATCCGATCCTATGACCCTATTTCGATCCTGCATAGAATCACGATCCTGCAAACATTGCTAAAAACTTTTTTAAGAAAAATCATTTGGGGATCAATATCAAATAGAATCAGGAAGCAGCGAGTTAGTGCTAATTAGTAATTGGGCAAATAAGTTCCACCAATATTCCACCACATATGAGGGCCAAATTAATCAATCAGCGGTTTTTGTCCAAACAATGAAAATATTTTTTTCCATAGATCATTGAAGGAAGATGGAAACCAGAAACTCTCCAGGAGGAATATTAATTTCAAGGTAACGACTAATCGAACCTAAATTTATTTTTTTAAAAAAAAAAGTTGCTAATTAATCTTGGTTTGGAACGATTTCCAGCATCTTCTGATGGTACGCAGCTTCCAAAGACTGAAGAATCGAGGAGGGCGGTTCATCATCAGGGAATAAGTACTCAATGTATTCTTCATAATGTGCAGATGTCCCAAGCTGCCTTGTCATTCTGAGTAACATAGGCAACTTAACAAGCACGGCATCAACGTCGCCGAGCTCGCCGAATCTTCTCTCCGCTTTCAGCCATTCTTCCAAAACCATTGCCCTTTTCTCTTTATTCAATTCCGGCTCCGCAGTTTTGAAGTAAGCCATCGCCCTCTCGAAAACCCGTCTCGCGCGCTGAATTCCTTGTTCCTTCTTGTTCTTTTTCTTCTTCTTCTTCTTCTGTTCAACTTCTTCTTCATCATCGCCATCTTCAGTTGCAGCAGAAGCCTCGAACCTAGCGTAGCTTAACCAGACCTGTAAATGCTTTGTGTGTTCTAAGACCCTCTCATAAAGAGTCCTAGTTTTTTCAATGTACTCATCACCAAGAGTTACTATCTCCAAATCTTTTTCCGGTAATGATTTTTCTTGTTCATTGTCTATGTGGGACGCCATAATTATTTGGTGGAACAAAAGTTTGATAAAGCCTCTCATTTATGGACAAGTTTTTCCTTCTTGATAATAGTAAAATCTTTCTAATCCTGTTTGGATTTACAAAATAAGGAAATCTTTGATTTTTCTTTTTGTCGTTTTCCTTCTCCTGATTGTGTTTTAGGACACTCCTATAACTTCTTCGAGCGTTGCCGACTATATGATTTTAATTTGCCATGATAATTAACGAATTCCAATACGCGCAATGGAATAATTAAGCTATCTACTAGAAATTAACTTTCGTATAACATTCCAAAATTTCCTATTGAAATCGATTAGGGTCTACATTGAAGAGAAATTATTCAGTGCAGTTACTGTAGCGCGTAGGATTATACAACCAGATACAATAAGAGAGGTAAAGTAATAATTTTGAGAGGAGAGATAATTTCTACAGGAGTTATACCACCAAAATAGGGGATGCTAATACTTACTACACTAAAAACCAGGATGCAGCAACTGTACCTAATAGTTTTTCCTACATTGAATAATTTGTGCAAGAATCTAGCCAGCAATTATATATGTTGAAAGTGTATACACGATGAAAACATTTAAACGATGCAATAACAATCTCCAATATGATCAACCAAATCTTGTAATTAAACAACTTTTGAAATGATCGAAATCATGACACAAGTATAATGAACTTGGCGGATGCAGTAAACAAAACTAGAGAAATTCACACCGAAAAGACGTACGTTCTATATTCCTCCCAACAATAGCTAATTAACATCCATTCTTAGCTCATTGCAAATCATTAGAGGATCTCAAAATAGAGATCTGAGATTTATGAGTATGAAATAAAATCCTTTTTTTTTCCTATTTAGGGAGTTTTAAGAAAATGGAAGTTATAAATTAAAGATTTGTGAAATACATGCATTGTCATGGAAACTAGCCCCAATTAATCAACAAAGCAGAATTGCGAGACAAGTCCTACAAGAAGTGGGCGGACGAGGTTAAGAATGAAAATAAGTCAATACCAGTTGAATATAGTGAGACAAGTCCTACGAGAAAAGCTCTATCAAATCTAATACAAGGTATATCACTTTTTTCCCGCGGTAAACAGGGCACTCTGATGCACACGGAGATGACTATGACATTGAGTATGCGACAAATCACCCTTAGTAAAAGTTTGAAGTTCTTGACTTGCTGATTTTTGTATCTCTATATTGGAGAATGATCTCTGTTTTCTCAAATTTCTGGTTTTATCAAGTCAGCTGGCCCAAATTAGAGCAACGCTGTAACTAGAATTGAGTTATGTGCCACTTACAACCATCTTTTACTTTATGCCAGTGTAGTGCGCAAATAAGGAAACTCACGTCCCTCTGTCTTTTATCTGCACTTACCTGACATTTTGATCAACATGGCCAGCCTCCCAAAAAAAAATAAAAATAAAAAAATTACAAAATCCAAATTTCTACGCACACCATTGTTGTGCTCTCAAAAAAAAAAAAAAAGGAAATGTCTCCAATATGTGGGCCACACATATTACCCAAATTGGAGTAAAACTAACAGAGGAACAAATAAAGTAAAGAGTGCGAGGTTCAACTCAGTCTTATATGGCAAGACATGGTCACCTTTTCAACCACATTGGTTGCTCTTAAAAGAATCTTCAACAATAGATTTAATGTCAGTGTAATATCAGTATTTTATGGGCACTCATCATTGGAGTGAGTTTAAAAATTTTATGCGTAGAAACAGATTCAAGCGGTTGAGTCTGACTATTGCGGACCAAAAGCATTTTAATAAGTCAAGAAAGTAAAAAAAGCATATTTCACATTTTCTTTTTCTTTCGTCTTTTCTCTTTTTCCTTTTTATTATTTTTTTATACCTTTTAATTGAAACACAAATGTGTGTGCTAGAGTTTAAATGTTGGCAAAGAAGTGAAAAAAAAAAATAGTATATGACAAAATAATAATGTGGCATTCAAATAGAGTGTAATTGATGTGGATGCTCTAAGAAGAAAGATAGTTGAATCACCTCTATAATGGAAGAAGGAATTCAATGATTTTTTTTTTTTTTTCTTTCACATACTGAGGAGGCTACGAAGCCTAAAAGTCACAATATTCATCCAATATTTTCTTAATATATTCTGCCAATACACTATCACAAAACACCTTGCCACTCCCATTTACCCTTGATAGTAGCTTGAATCCATGAATCTACGGTAAGCATAAGAAATTCCTTCAAAATCACCTTAATCCATCACTCTTAATCGCTTCCAATAAAGCGATTACTACTCTTGCTCCAGGTCGGAGAGGCGACCCTCCCCGATGTGGAAAGGGTGCTCCTTGGTTTGATTATTTTCTGAGGCTTTTGTCACCCGTATCAAAATCAAAGCCCAAAGGTAAGCTGGCCACACACTTTTAGACTTTTCACAGTCCAAAATTAGCTAAGAGACAGTCCAAAAATAGGAGTTGAAAATTAGAGTTATAATGTCATTGGGCCAGCTGAAATAGTAGAAAAGCCCATTCCACACAGTGAACCCAATTTTATGGCGGGAACTCTCCAATCACACTTTTCAATCGGGTCCATTCCAATAATCCACGGCGTCAAAAAGCGCTACATTAAGAAGCTCGCCACCATATCCCGTCCGCCGGCGCCTCCTTTATTGCAGTTCCGGTCATCCCGGTGATCGTACATCTTTCAATTCTCCCGAACTACAGGTACTGCAGATAATTTTTTTATCTTCCAACTCCGGCCATCCCTTGGGTTTTTTTGTTTTTTTTTTCAGATTGTCTCATATTGCCGCCTTGTTGTTTATTAATTTTGTGGAGGAGAGGGGATAGATTAACCCAGAACTAAGCTTTGTTTAGGGAAAGAAATTTTGGATTCTTTATGAATTTACTCAATTAAGAGGAGATGGAAAGCCATTTCCCAGCCCTTATTGGCAGTCTTCCCCTTTTGCCGACTTTAATGTTGTATCAGTGAGCGGGAAAAAAACAAATTGATGTTTGTAAGGATTAAATGGAATTGAAATTCGTGTGTTCATCCCAGTCTTTTCTGATTACAAAATTTACATGTTATTCAAAGTGATTATTTGGGTTTTTTCCCTCGGCATTTTTGTAGCCATTGTCAGTTGTTGAACTAAACTTGTATCGATTTTTCAAACAAGATTCTGTTTGTATTTGTTGAAACTTTGAAATTTCTGAAAAGATTGTTGATTAAGAAGCTATATGTGTCCAAACTCAATTCGTATCTGGAAGTAGGTAGTTACAGGTCCATGGGATTTACAATAGAAGTATAGGATTTACTGGACTTAGCTTGTGATTTTAAGTTGTTGCTGGGGAAAATTTTAGAGGATTTCGTCGTGTTCTGCAATGAATTGGTTTCACTGGACTTTGTTGTTTGTTCTGAATTCCTAGTTTTGTTCTGATCTCCCAGTTATATTAGGATGCAATTTTGATAAAGATGTGGGTTTAGTAGAAATTAATAATACCATTTGTTCGACCCCAGATTGTTGTCTTGGAAATTACTGCATCTTCTTTTGGAAAGGATATATTGTATGCGCTTAAGATCCCTTTGGAATTTTTGGATTTACTTAAGATAGACCTAGCTTAGGGGACCATGAGATTGCATTCAAGTAACCCTACATTTATAGCATATATAAGATTCTTACTGACAGAATATGTACAAAAAATTATCCTTCTGCGACAGAGATATTTAAAGATCAAATAAATTGATTTGCCAACATATCCACTTTGTTATCATCTTGACAATCAAGGCATAAAGTTGGTGCAGCTCAAGCAATTCGAATAATTGTGTGGTTGAAAATGATTTTCAATGGTAGTAGTACCTTCTCTGTGCTTCTGATTATCTTTGAATCAAAGCCTTCACCAGTATTTATTTAATGCAATGCTGAATGTTGCAGTTGAGTAAGAGGTATTCGTTTTCAACCAAAGAATGTATGGGAGAAAAGGAAGTGAGTTAGTTAAGGAACTTACATGCGCAGAACCTGGACAACTCCTGGCTTTTAATGTAAGTTCGCCTCTCTCTCTCTCTCTCTGTGAATCTATATATGATTTCTCCCAATCTCTGCTTTAGTTTCAAACTTCTTTTCTTCTGTGTTGTTGTTGTTGGTTTTTTTTTTTTTTTTTTTTTTGGGGGGTGGTTAAATACGGTTCAATTAGTGTTCATATCAAAATGTGTTGGTCCGTCCAAATGACTAGTTTGTCCAAATGTCTGATTTGGCGGGATGTTATTATTGCTGCTGCCGCTGTTTTAAGTTTGCCAAGAGGTTATGATTGGTTTATTCCCATTTGGAATTCTCTAATTGAGTTGCCTTCTCTTCTTTTTTTGGCAAACATAGGATGACTTGTTCTCCCAAGTAATTGAAGAATGTACTGGGCATCTACACAACCTTGCCCCATTAATAAGGTCGGTTTCTTATGAATTGTGATTAGGTTATTTTGTTTTGTTTAGTTTTCTTGAGAAAACATGTGCAATGGATCAACCAGTGTTTTACCGAACTTTATATAACGACAGGAAAATTGAAGAATTAAAGAAACTTGAAGAGATGAAAGTACAGAATAACCAGCAGCTGGAGGAATCAGACAAACAGGCATTAAAAGCTCACAACTCTGGAGCACTCATTCATCATCTTTCTCTACTCCGCAACAAGCGCTGTCTGATGACCTATTTGTATGTAAACTGTTTAGTTCTTTCTTCTGGAGCTTCTCTGAGAGTCCATCGTAATAATACTTGTGTTTTGTTTTTAAATAGGTATAATCGCGCAGAAATTATACGAAAGTTGGGATGGACAGTTGATAAAGTAGCTCTCCCAGAAGAAATTGAAACGAAGCTCAGTAGCTCTGAGAAAGAATATTTCAAGAATCATGGTGCAACTTTACAATCTTATATTTCAGAACTTGATCTTGAACTGGCCGTGGTAATGAAATCTCTTTTCTGATATTTTATCCTAGAAACTTATATTCTAGGAGTAAGCATCATGGGACTTCTCCGACTATGATCTTGACTTATAGCTAGAGCACATGATCTTCCTAGTACAGAAATAGACGATCTTATGTGGAACACTTACTTAATACAACTGCATGCATGCTTCTAATTTCAAGCATGTACACATGACACATTGGAGACTGGCTTATATTAAAATTTCCAGCTTCAAGAAGCCTGAATAATTTTTGTGTGCCTTCCTGTCTTTGCTAGGATATGGTGCCACCAAAAGACCCCCTTATTAAAGTGAGGGTGCTAGAGGAAATTGGAAATGTTGCTCTCAGTGATCAGTCAGCCCATCTTGCTTGCCAAGCTATAGTTTTCCTCAAACGAACTGATGCTGAGCAGTATATTGCCCAGGTAATTTCAACTCTCTTCTGATTTTCTTAACATATAAAAATTTGCCAGATGTAACTATTAATCCGTGTTTGATTTAACAGGGTTCAATGGAAGAGTTAACTGGTTGATCAAAGTGCACTGCCTTTGTACACAAGGAATTGCTGCCAGATTATGCTTCATTTATAGGTTGGTCTGAATTCATAAACTCAGATATCCAAGGGAGACTACTACTTATTTTGCTTTAGGAATTTCAATGTAAAAGCAAGTGTAGAAGAAGGAAAAAAAAAGGCAAAAGGGATATGCATCATTGCCTCAAGACTTATTTACCATATATGATTTTAGAATTTGCCAATAGATTTTCCACCAAATAGCTTTGCAACCTTCTGAATATCTTACTTTTTGAGTAATAGTTCTATAGCATGTTATACCCTTTCAGATTTAGTAAAGTTGTTAAGTTAGCCATCATTGTTTGGTACCGCAGTCACTTTCATTGGCTATTTAACTGAAGTCTGAAGTAAATTGATGTTTTACGAACTGGTTCTGAGAATCCGAAAATTTTCAGATGTCATTTGTTAAACTTCCTTATCTGCTTTTAACTTTACCTTCAAACCAAAGGCAGAAATACTCGTAGATGGGATGCCATTGTCACAGAAGTATTTCAACAACTACTTCGAATCTTATTTGTGTGTCCTATGTTTCACCAAGAAGTTGCATCTGAAACAGCAGAGCTGCAAATTCCTGGCCTGAGGTGCATTTTCCAACTGCCATACTTCCCCATGAAGAATCAGCTGACTCTCTGAAGTCTGAATGCAAGATTATTGCTTTTAGCCTCTTGCCTTTGCTGAATCCAAACTTTTCGGGCCAGGCTTTCATCTCTTTGGGAATAAGATCATCTCCCTTCTCCCTTGAACTAACTTTACTGAGAAAGAAGTATCTAACTATATATGTGTCTGAATCTCATCTCTTTTTGCCATATTTCACTCTACAACTCCCTTTTGCATAAATTATTGTTGCAAATTGGCAGGCTTTTATTTCAGCGTTTATAAGTAAGTCATACATGGAATCCAAAACCAGGTTCACTGTGGACAGTTTCAGCAACTAAAATTTGACCCTATCTAGTATCTATCAATGAAGTAATACAAATGCTACTTAATTCTGTCAAACCAATTGAATGACATTGCAATCAATGAGGTAATAAGTTATACCTAATATCCATATTTCATTTTCTGCCCTGTAAATTTGACAATTGGTTCATTGAGGGATAATATTTATTCTGGTTCGTCACCCTTTACAAAGAAACCGACACACCTTTGGTTGTTTTGAAAATTAGGCATGATGACAAAAGCAAAATTTATTTTCAAAAGGCAAGATGAATATTTGACTGTCCAAAAAGAATTTGTAAGAAAAATACAATTAGGGGCATACCTAATTTTGTCCAGGGTCGAAATACAGGTCAATGACCTCATTTCTCTTTTCCAATCCTCAATGTATACTTTTATGTGCCAAAATAAGAATTATATTTACCTTATTATTTTAATTCAACAATTTTTTTTTTTTGGAGTATATGGACAGATTAATAAACTCGGCGAAAAAAAAAAATTAGTATCTCATCTTCATAGAATAAAACTTTTTATCATATTAAATATATCATGTAATAAATACGGTAAGTACATTATTTTCTCTTTTAAGGTTAATTTTTGTTATTAACCTTAAATGATCGGTGTAACCATAGCTATCACAATCCGGTTCACTCAAACTAGAGATTTCGTGAATCGTCATGCCAATTTGCAAGGAGAAGATCTCCAATTTTTTTTTCCCCCTAACTTTAGTGAGGATAATTATGTAAAAATAAAAGTGTTTCGATTATAAAAGTTTTGGAAAAAAAATTTACTGCCCTTGGTAAAAATTATTTTATAGTCATACCCCTTTTATTAATTTGACCATCTCCACGATCCTTCAACCAAATTTTCCCTTAAATGATAATGCGGAAAATACTACTCTGTCTTTGTGAAATGTGTTGATTTGAAACACTAGACGTCTCACCTCCTTTAATGTATCAACGAAATTATGGTAGCTATAACAATTTTAATAAAACAGTAGTAGCTGCAACAACTTTAATTAATAAAACCTGAGCTAATCTCACTATTTCAAAGTCAATTATATCAAATATTTTAAGTTATTTTCAAACCCAGCACAACAAATCGATGCGTCTGCATGTGAGTTTAGGATTTGACCAAAAGAATTGCACACTTGGTATCTAAATAATGACACAACTCATCGAGATTTATATAATCCGAAATCATAAATTAATCACTGTTTACGTAATTAGCAGTTGGTATATGACTGATGAACTCAAACTAGAAATCAGGTTTTAATTTTGGCTGTTAAACTAAGATTCTCCAAAACCAATCAAATGGTAGCCCTCAAATCACTCACATAGATTTACTATTTATTTTTATTATTATTATTATTTTTTTTTTTGTTTCCATCCGTTCAAACTCCCAATGAATGGAAGTGTTCATATGAGTACGATCAAAATCATGACATTGTCTGATAGCTATTTTCAAGACTTCATATCTTATCTCCTACTTAAAATTTTTTGGCGGAAGCCACTTAATTAATTAATTAAAATAAATGTCATTTTCAGAGGGTTTACTTTTTCTTCCTAATACGTATCTGATAAACGTTTTGCTGTTTCGATGTCGAGTGTTGACGATACATAAAGAAAACTCATTTTTACATTAAATACTTAAAAAACATTTAATTTATTGGCGTAGGTGAAAATACTTAAAACTTACTACTACTAGTTATTGATCAGCATTAATTCTTTAGTACTCTCTCCGTCCCATAATTATTGTCCAGTTTGAGTTTTTATTTTTAGTTCAAATTGTACTAAAAATGAAATCATAAACTGGAAAATAATTTTGGGACAGAGGGAGTATCTAAAGAATTAATGCTGATCAATAACTAGTAGTAGTAAGTACTAAAAATGAAATCATAAACTGGAAAATAATTTTGGGACAGAGGGAGTATCTCTTTAGGTAGATTAGCTAGAGCATTTATTGTAAACATTAACGCGATTTAATCTAAGTTGTAATAATAATAATAATATTTATAATAAAGTTAGTTCCACCCACCCTCAGCATGCCTTGGATCAGGCTGCGTAATTTTTAAAATTCTTTCAAATTATACTAGCTCTTGTATTTTTGTTTAACCTTACTGGAGAGCTGTTTATTTACCAGATTTTGAAGCATAAGTAAATTGGAAACGTGAAATTAGAGAGTAGATAATGATTTTTACCTGGAAGAAAAACGTTGCCAAGCTTCAAAAGAGATCGTTCGATCGAATGGTAAAATAAGAATATGGTATAAAGGAATAAAAAAAAAAAAAAAAACCGTAATGTTATGAGATCTAATGACTTTGTTTTACTATCCGTTTGTCATATTAATTGTTTCATTATGACTTGATGGCTTATCAACGAATGGAAAAAAGTTAATATTATTATGAGAAAGTGGAATATTACATTCTAGAAATGACATTATCTCAAGTTCTTTCATTACATTAATAATCGTGAGATAATTTTAAATGGATATATTAATTTTCTCTCCAGTTAAGTACCATCAAATTTCGACAAAATAATCTCTGTTGTGTATCCACATCAGCATTTGGGCCTTGCCAAGTCGCTCTTCCTTCCTTCCATTTCTTTTAACCCTCTTTTACGCTATTTGTTCTGCATCACTTTTATTGTCTTGGTAACAATAGGTAAAGCCAATATATGTTGAACAAAACATGGTCTTAAATCAAAATCTTCACGTCGTTGAATTTGAATTTCACCTCTATAGCTAGTTATATATCATCATCATACTATTATTATTATTATTATTATTATTATTATTATTATTATTATTTTTATTATTTCTGAAAAAACTTGTTCTTTGATTTACGCCGACTACTAGTCACTTAACGTGGAGAAAACGTTTATGTACAGCCACTTGGAGCTGGCTCACAGATCAATTAAATACAAAATACTTGCTGGCTAACAGAATTTTGATGAATGGAAAAGTCTGACGCCTTAATAAATTTATTGTCAGTCAACTTAATCGTAATTGTCAACATTTACGTGGCTTTAGTTTTGTTTGATCATTTCTCTTCTATCTTGTAGGTTTTACCTTCTTTTGATACTAGTGATGTCTAATGCGCGACCCTGGCCCAATCTATCTGTAGATCTTATAAATATTTATATTTTAAAAAAAATAAAATTTTGTATTTGGAGCGATATATTTTAGAAATGTTTGAAGGATTTAGAAATGTTTTATAAGTGTGATCATAGAAATATTTGTATTTCACAAAAAAAGAAATTGTATTTCGCCATGTATGTTCTAGAAATGTTTTATAAGTGTTACATTACTTATTAAATATAAATAGACTCAATTAAATATATGTGTTGAAGTAAATATTAGACAAAATATAAAAGCATCCTAATAAGTTTAAATATTAGTAAGATGATTTATTGATGTTCTTTATTGGTCGTGCCAAATCAATACTTAGTTTTGGAGATTTTTAATAGCTTTGTAATAAGTTTCATCCGAAGGGTATACGCTTAAAACAAAATTGACACTTTGTAACAAAAATCTAATTGATTAATTCAATTTAGACTCCATAATTAAGAAAAGAAAACCACTCTAATTGAATGAAACATAAAGAAAAAATTAAAAAAAAACGTGTCACATAAAGTGCAAAGGGGATTTAGTAATTTAGTTATGGTTGGCAATTTAGTACTTTACTCATGTGTCACGTGGCAATCATAGGAGGTATTTGAAATGGTGGTTTTTATTTCTAATATAGTAGGACATTCTTAATTAACAAATAATAACCATATAGAGACCTAACCTCACACATACTGAAATAGTATCAGAAATTAATTTACTCACTTGGTCATGTAAAAAAAAAAAAAAAGGTAAGAATACAATAATAGAAGAATCGAAGGCTATTAACCATATATTACCATGCATTTTTCACTCACTCCATGTTCATCAATTGATTATTAGATCACAAGAGGGGAAGACATTTTGTTTGTTTCAATTTTTAGATGGTTTTTTTTAAAATTATTATATTATTAACTGTCTCATCTCAGAATGATTTTTTACATTTTTAATACACTTTTTTACATTTTCAATACAAAAGACACCTAAAAACACACACTAAAAAAATAAACAAACATAGTTTTTCTGTGCCATGGAGATGGTTCTACAAAGTTTCCTCGAGATTTGTAAGATCCGAGTTTCAAAGACACATTAAATTCGTCTGACCTAAGAAAGTACTATTCCAGAATCTCATAGAAGAGCTGCATATGCAATAACTTAGGCATAAATATTTCTCACTGAGCCAAAATTATTTTACCTTCTGTTGTGGTTTTTCAGGTTATTAAGATGGATATAGGTTTACCCCATTTCTGATATGAAAAAAAAAAAAAATTACATTGTAGTGATCCCTTTAAGGGAAAGAACCAGTGTTGTTTTTCTAAAAGCCTACAAATGATAATTTTGGAAAATTCTGTATGCTTGAAACGAAACAAGTACTATTCACAATGTAGCGGATCAAAGATAACTCGAGAAAACATTAGAAATTCATAAGTATTCAAAAGATGATTTTTTGATAATATGTATACCCCCCAAAAAACTTACAAAATTCAGCTTAATTTACATTTGTATAATCACACATGATGAACCCTGCACTAGCAAACATCATGCCCCAAGCCCAAATAATCCTTGACATCACTTGGAAAACAAGGATACTTCTTCCAAAAATTACTATGGCCCTTGAAAATCCTTATAATTCTATTCTTTGTCGATGATGATCCACCCATATGAAGCAAAACCACTAGCTTCTTCACTGTTCCACACATCAACATTTCCTCCAAAACCCTTTCTGTTGGATTGGATCCACAAATCAGCCACAAAATCTTGACCCCTAATTTTGTAGCAGCACTTGAGACTTTCAGCATTTTCTTAGAAACGGCCGCAACTCCAAGTCCATGTTCAATGAAAGCCAGCCTTCCTTCAGCGCATTCACATAATACCTTAAGCAAGAGCATGATCCTTTCACATTTGGACTTGTTTGAATCCGGCAAAAGCTCAATGAGGGTAGAAACTGCCCCGGCTTCGATGGCTTTGACTCGACTCCTCTTGGATGCATCGAGCACATCGATCAAAACTTGTAATGCACATGAACTAGCCTTTCCAGACATCTCATCGGAAACTATTTCCAAAAGGGATTTGAAGAAATCTATTCCTTGGCCTTTAATTATGGCATGGTTCCAATGGTGATCGGCTTTTGCCATTTTCTGGAACAAGGAAACGATGGAAAATCGGGTTTCCGAGCTTCCCCTTTGTAGCATGATTGTGAAGGATTTTATACACTCGGGCTTCATTAGTAACTCAAGTGTACTATGATCCTCTTCCTCTTCTTTTTCTACTTCGCCATTAGGATCGGGTGACTGGACCAGCTGATCCAGTACCCCGATCGCTTCTTCAGAAGCGCGAAATGAGGAGAAATCCGAACCACTATCAGCCAAAATTTGTACAAGAATTTTAATAACAACTTCCACACCGCCCGATTTCTTAAAATCAAACCTCATTTCATCATCATAATCTCCATGAATCTCTACCATTGACTTAAGTTTTTTTAAAGGACTAACCTTGAATGGAGTTGACTCAATAGTTCTGAGTAGAGAAACCAACTCTTCATGTCTGGTGTTACGTGCCGGTGATGATGATGACGACGACGAGGGTGAAGACGATGATGATTTCGATTTCCGACCATCTTGCCATGCTTGGATGAGCCTCTTGAGTGTATGATTTGGAGTCATTTCGAGACTTTCAACGGGTTGCATAGTGGCCGGACATGTCTTCTTCTTGTATGTAATGAGCCATTTTTCGATGAATTTTCGGTCGTAGGTGACCCCGGTACAGATTGTAACGGGGTCCTTCATAAGCTCCATGGAAATTGGACATCTAAAATGTTCAGGGAAGTCCATAGTGGTTTATCCTGCAGAAGTATTCTGGAGCTGGAGATTATATATGAGAGACTTTGTAGCATTTATATATATAATAAAAATTGCACGGTAAACTAAGTTTACCGTTGATATTACTAATATAAAAAAAATTGGAAGGGTTATTTCATGTGTAAAAGTCTAAATAAAGAATAAATCAAAGTCAAAACTTTTTTTGGTTGTCCCTCTGCCAAGTTGGTTAAACTATTAAACATGGAAGCGACATTTCTGATGGAACTTGTGCGCAAGTGTGTGTGCGCGCCCGCGCGCGTGTATCTTCTTTGTTTTTGCCTTTTTTTTTTTAATCTCAATATATATAGACTGTATATTTTTTTTTAGAATGCAATTTGCACTACATGTAATAAATCGAGAGAATACAGATTTGAAATGAACTTTATTCTTTTGTTACAGTAAAAGAGGCTCAAGCTTAAAATTATACATTTCGTAATAAACAGCCCCAATCATATTATTTTCCAACGTTTGTTTGATCATGTTCCAATTACGGTTTAATCTAGATGGTAGAACTTCTAATCGTTGTAACCCGATGAAACTTTTTGAATAGTCTCCTGAATTAGTTTCAATTTATTTAAGTCCCTTGTATTGAAAGCGGAAAGAAAAGGCTATGAAATCAATTTTCAACTCCCAAATTTTCATTTATCATTCAATCAAAGACAAGCAGGTCAAATTTCCAAAATCGAGTTCAATGTGGGCAAAAACATGCAATGCAACGCCGAGTCTAGTTTTTCAACTTGGGGAGCCGATTACTGAATCCAATGTTCATTTAACAATTTCCTAAAGTTTATAAAATGAAACTTTCTGAATAAGATGAACCAAAAGAATGAGTTACATCACCAAATCAAAGGGATTTATATTCGACTGGCTGATAAAAACCTTGCTCTATATATGACGAGTCCAAAATAAACCCTAAGCCTATTGGGCCTAGGATTAGGTTACTTGGAGATTAAGCCACCGCCTAAATTTATTCCGCTAGAGTTTCAGGAAATTGGTAACACCACCTCTTTAGTAACACCACCTCTATATAAAGAAGTGGTGCCTCTCCCATAATACATATCTTCTACCTATCTTCTACATCTTCTACACACGATACACATCCCTCTCTCTCTATTATCTTTATTCCCTTATTGACTTAAGTATCGGAGAGTCTATCCTCGAGAGACTCCTGAGGCTCTGTCTTGCAGGTTTTAGGCCGTCTGCCGCCGCCTAGGTCATCATCGCCGCCCATCCTAAACACCATACAAATCTATGCTTCGTCAAGTGGCACGCCCAGTGGGACCGATTTGTTTGGTCTTCACAACCAAATAAATTTCTTAGCGAAGCACGGTTTCTTTTGTATCTTTCGTAACCACGGTGTTAATTCATTGCTCCGATTTGGCAACAAGAAGATCACGCAAAAAAATTATCTTTGTTTGGCCAAGAAGACGTCAGCCGACAAGTAGCACAAAGAAGTTTTCAATTGCACAAATAATCGAGGAGCTGCACTTGCTCCACAGCTGATCGAGAAGAACAATTAGCAAGGGGCAATCTCGAAGATTGGAGTTTTGAGAGATACGTCTCCTCAAAGGGGCAACAATCCCTCGAGCACCATATTACTACACGAAGCGTTCGAGAAGATACATCTCCTCGAAGGGGCAAGCATCCCTCGAACACCTTATAACTACTCGAAGTGTTCGAGAAGACGTATCTCGACTTTCATCTATCCAAATAATACCTTCTCGGAATCGAGGTAACACTTTCTCGAGTAATCAATTTAACTGAAAACCGAGTTACTTCTCAAATCTTTTTTAACTATACTTCTCGAATCTAAGCTTATAAACTGCTATTCTTATTATAAGCATATTATTTATATCATATGACAATATCTTTTTGATACATACATCGTATTATTGCATATCGAGCGTCCAAACATATAGGGGTCATCCTTCAAATCAGGCATTGGGGACCACCCCACATCAGAAACGAACCGAAAGACCTGCTAGTCGGGCATCGGAATTAAATAAGACCTGCTAGTCGGGCACGACCCACAAAGACCTGCTAGTCGGGCACAACCACAAGACCTGCACGACAGGCAACTACAGGCTTCTCACCTTTAAATAAGAGAATCTATGCGCCATCCTCCTAATTCGGCATACACAGGCTTCCCCCTGCCAATCAGGAACTCACTAGAACAAAGACCTCCTCGAGGCATTTTACTCTCTTTATTTTTCTATAGGTGACACTCAAGAACTGAGGCAACACCACGAGAAGACATCAACACTCGTAGCAACCCATATCCTTCTCATCAAGTCTCGGGAATATGGCTTGCTAGAAGCACTTGACGAGTCCAAAATAAACCCGAGACCTATTGGGCCTAGGATTAGGTTACTTGGAGATTAAGCCACCGCCTAAACCTATTCCGCTAGGGTTTCAGGAAACAAGTAACACCACCTCTATATAAAGAGGTGGTGCCTCTCCCATAATACATATCTTCTACCTATCTTCTACACCTTCTACACACGATACACATCCCTCTCTCTTTATTATCTCTATTCCCTTATTACTTAAGTATCAGAGAGTCTATCCTCGAGAGACACCCGAGGCTCTGTCTTGCAGGTTTTACGCCGTCTGCGGCCGCCTAGGTTATCATCGCCGCCTGTCTTAAGCACCATACAAATCCATGCTTTGTCAAAATCTATGCTTCGTCAATACACATACATACATACATATATATACATATGATGTATTTTCACTTTTCCCATAAGTGCATTTTGTCAAATGTCAGACTACTTAGACATCAATTAGCTTCACATGTTTGAGAAAAATAATCCGTTTTTTTTTTGTCATTGACAAAAAGCGTAATTTGTAATATTTTCTTTAATTTTAATTATAAGGTATAAATGATCAGTAAATTTTTTTCAAATTTTTACATTATAATTAAGATCGGGAAAGTATTTGTTTTCTTACATTAATTTGCTTTTTGAGAACAGAACAACATTTTTGCATGCTTACAAAGATAAGCATGCGAATGCCATCCATACAGAACTACTACATTATTTCAGACTATCTTAGCTACGTTACAAAGTTGTAATCAGTACATTAAACACCAGAGTGGATAGCACGTACTCGTCAAGATGCAATTTTTTTCTCCTTTGTTTGGTTTAATTTCTTGTCATTTTCCTTCGTCAATATGATAACCTTCAACAAACAACCTCGAACATATCACTTCACCCTAAGTTAGAGGGAAAATATGCTTGGGCAATTTACGACGTGCATTAATTAAGATTTATTACGTTAGTAGTAGTAACATGTTTTGTCCAATAATTTCCTGGTTTGTGTTTCTAGTTCTTTGAATTGAGCAAACCCTCCTGTAGGGTGTTTTATTTGAAAAAAAAGGAAAAAAAAAAAAAGAAAAGCTAAACTACCGGTCTGAAAAATGCCCTTTCTGAAGTGAAACTTCTCAACAAATCAAGATAAGTTTATAACCGAAACAATTAAATTCATTGACCTTAGCACCTAGTTTCTTACTCCCTCCATTTCGATTTATAAGTCGTTTTAGGTTTGGAGAGATTTTTTAAAATGTAGGTCATTTTACAAATTCTAGGTAAATTAATAACTATTTTTCTAATTTTACCATCAATAAATGATGCCTATCTAGTTTTATTTAGTCTTGCTTATAATTTCAATGTAATTAATGAGGGATAAAATAGATATTTAACACATAAATTAATGGTTAAATAATTGTCTTTTTAGTTTACGTGCAACGGTTAAAGTGACTTACATTTTGAAATGGAAGGAGTACTACACAATGTTAACGCAATCAAAGGTGCTTGGTGATCGTCATATTTATTGTGTATAAACTATGTCACATTAATTAGTAAAAGGACATCAATTTATTATCACTAGCATTTTTTTGAAATATTAACACTAGCATTTATACATACGTTTCAAACTAATTAAACTAGTGATGTATTAACACATCCTCTCTTAATAGTTATGACGTACATATATTTGAGGACGTTCTGGTTTAATACTTTAGTGAAATAAGGAATTAGTAATGCATGTTTCAAAATAAAGTCTTCATTATTCAATTCCTATTTAAAATTCGAGGTAAAATCACATGTGTACATTCAGAATGTCAGTAATTGGTAACGAAATGAAATGCATACATGTCCATAAATTGATGCTGTTAGTTAAACTAGAGATCAAATCCGACAACTTGAGGGGCGAAAATTTCAAAGTAAAGATTTTCAGGCAAAAAGTACGTAGTTTGCGGACGGTTTGGGCAGTTGACTTAAACCGGGACAAGAGCCCACTGTTCAACAAGATTAGTTTAGGTATTATCATATGAGCTGACTGATCATCATACATCATCACATCAGCATATTTCAATTAATTAATTATAAGTATCACTAAAAGAATTTGGAGAATATTAATAATTGCGTTTTGCAAGTTAATAAAAGAGTTTTTCAAACCACCATTTCTGTAATATATGTTTGCTCACATAACACCGGCGTAGACTGCGATTCGACTCTTTTACACGTTAGTACAATGATTTTTTTTTTTCTTTTTATGATTTCCTAAGTAGGATTCGTACGTACTTAATTAAATAAATTAGCTGTTACTGAAATTTCTTGAATTATTAACAAGAAAAAAAAAAAGAAAAGGAAGAGAATTGGCTGTTGATCTGCCCCGCTGACTCTCTCTATCTCACTCTCTCTCTTAAGGCATATGATGTTGGAATGCAACTTGGATTTGACCAAAAGCACAGCCTGGGAGAATACTAACAACTAAGAAACTCAAATTAATGCATTTATTATATTTGTGAAAGATTTGATGTAGATCTCTTCTAAGTCAATGGTTTTTTGCTTCGTTTAATTTTCGACGATAGTGATAAAAAGTTACAAATTCATAGCCGACGAATTCAAGAAAATTTCGAGTAACTCATAACCGGCGAATCAAATGCATTTGTCTTTGTACATTATCTTGCGTATATTGAGGTTACTATTGGAAAATTTGATTAAAAGTGAATTAGCTGCAAAAAAAAATAATAAAAAAAATTAAGTGAATTAGCTGCATCAACTTTTGCATTATCTTGCGTACTTTGATCATTAACCTAACTTTTTTCATGTCTTTAATTAATGTTATTATAGATTTCAGTAAATATATCATGCACAACTCAAAATCAACGTACAGAAAAATTGTATGTTCAAAATTAGGTGGCCGAGAAACGTACATGATTGGTGAATTATGGCGGCGCCAAACGAAAAAGATTAATGAAGGGAAAATTCATGCCAAAACATGTGGTTTCACCGCGATTTTTCAACACGTTTGCTTAGATTTGCTCGATTTTGGTGTTGTAGTTGAAATATATGAGCTAGTGGTAGTAACTATATTCGAACGGTTTGGAAGTTGTCCTTGTTTGTAAATGGCGGGAAATTGACATATATGGAGGTGATTAAGAAAGAGCAACACATACTTTCCGGTTTCAATGAGATTAGATGATTAAGTGGAACTTATTCATTTCATTTCATAATTCTTCCTCCGCCTCAAAATAATTTTCGCATGTAGTACTCATTCTATTATTAAGTAGTTGTCGTTTTATCAAAATAAAAAAAAATTTAAAATAGGTGTCATTTTTGGCCACTAATGCACTTTTGATCAAACTTTTTAATAGTACTCTCAAAAGAAAATAATATTAATGGCAATTATTTGTTTTAACAAAATAAATTGAAGATAATATAGTAATTTATTTATTTATTTAAATATTTTTTAAATTGTATGTAAGTTGTCAAACGACAATTTTTTTAGAATGTAGAAAATAATATCAACAATCATATAATAAAGTAAATTAAATGGACAATCATTCAAAGAGGGGAAAGATGTTCGGACAAGTCAAGGTACTGTTAAGACGAGCCACAAATTCATTTGCTCTTGTCGACAAGTTATCAATGTTGGATTTAAGAGATTAAAACATTGGGTTTCGCCATGTGAGCTTGACTTCTATTTGGGCTCTTACGACGTCATGTCCAGAATATACTTTATATTTGGGCTGTTCTGGGCTAAATTTGAGGAAGACTATTTGAAAAATGTTTAAAAAAAAAAACAAAATTAAATTTAGAAAGAAATGTACTAGAACCGAACCAGGGCTTTTTCGTTTCCAGACGCCCTCTCGACTACATAGGGTAGTAGGGCTGGGTGAGAAAGGGTTTCTGCTGCCGACCAATAAACTTTCTCCAAACAAACATGGCTAAATAGTCATCATGATCGAGCCTTTAAAATTACCTACATATCTATATATGCGCTTCCGATTAATTTAGGCAACACACTTAAACCCAAAGCAACCAACCATACTTGGATGATTTGAGCTTAAACATTTTTTTTTTTATCATAAATGATACTCATTCCGTCCAAATTGATTCATGTATTTGTGTTATTAGCCATGTTAATTTGTTTTATTAATAGTAATAATACAACAAAAAGAGCAATAATTATGTGACAAAATGAATAAGATCTTTTCTCTTTTCCATTTTAGTGACATAAGATCATGCTTGATTTCTTCCTATAGAAAGAAAATCAGTTTCGTGAGCTTGAAATCCTCTCCTTAAGGTGTGTGATAATTCCAGTAGCAGAGTCATCATAATCAAAGTCCTTTCAAGTTAAGCATTACTCTTTCTGTTCCGAAATAACTGTCCAGTTTGGATTTTCATTCTTAATACAGATTGCATTAAAAGTGAAAATCGAAAAAAGGACAATATGAGTTTGGGACAGATGAAGTACTATAATTACCGTAATCGTAGTATTAGTAAGAGAAATGTAATTCTTTGCAGTCTCAAAATTAAAAGAGCTTGAAATAAAAATAGTGAAAGTTGCTTTGTAAATGGGCATAAGGGAGGTGGAATTCTTAGTTGCAGTAGATAAACACCACATATGATTTTTGATCTTAGGGAATATATAAATGAGCTGCGGGCACATGTAGCATGCATGGTGTTGAAGTAGTAGTAGTGTTGAACCATGAGACATTTTTGAAGCTTTTTGTACTAAGTAATGTAATTAAATTACGATAGTAAACTTTGCATCAATCATAAAACACCAAAACAAAGAAGTTGTTATACACATGAGTATCAAATCAATGAGCTAACCATAAGTGTGCTCAAGTTCTCCTCCAATACCCCCAAGGAAATTTTTTTTATTTAGTATATTAAATGAATATAGTAAATTGAGGTACCTAGTGGTTGGTCTTATATATGTTGCCAGGCATTTCTCAGATCTTGTGGAAACCATCGTTATAGTCCTCTTTGGGATCAAGAAATGGATTAACCACTGTTCTCTAGCATGCAAATCCCTTCTCTTCAAGAATCCTAGGCCTTGGCAAAAAGGAAGATCAATATGGATTCGTGTGCAAAAATATAATCCATGCCCTAAGTCACTAAGGGAAGATTAATAGGTAATAAAGTAAGTTTTTCGCCCCTAAAAATTTCTGTTTGCAGTCAATCCACCAGTAAAAGTATATATGCAACTGAATATGTCCTTTCATACAAGCACCATATTCTGAAATATGGAGAATTTTGAAAATGTTTTGTACTACAAGTTGTCCAACAATTATTAATACCGGCAGTTTTTGATGATTGCAACAAATTGACGCCACTCCAGTTTGTGCGACTACAAGAATCATGCATAACGCTCCTATACATCCCATTCTTCAGAAAATCCCAACACTTAAAATGAAATTGCTTATGCTTTCAAGTTTGAAGTTTAGGCTTAAACAAGGCTAGCTGGGTGAATATTTAATTACGTTCCATTTTCGACAACTAACAAAAGAACAGAAACGAAGATGAAAATTAAATGAAGGAATTGTTTATGCCTCCGATCTTGTTCCTCATCATTCATCCTCCATAACCAATGCAACCCCGCAACCACATCCCTTGAAAGACGCCTTCAGAAATCCATGCACCAAGAAGAGGGAAAAAAAATAAAATAAAGAAAGATATATAATTAGGTGCTGTCGTGACGAATATTAGGGAATGAATGTACAAAATTAATTTTTTATAATTTCATTAACAAAATTGGGGATGCTTGTATAACCAGGTGCTGTCCTGACAATTAAAGTTAATTTCATTATTAGATTAACGTTTACGATGACATCTTGTTATGAGAGAGAATCACAGACATGGCAAAATTAGCATGCAATGGAAATGAAATAATTAGGACAATAAGTTAGACTACCAGTTTAGTTGACTTACAGATATGACTTCTACGGGAACATTATTATAGTTATGCCAAACTTGTTTTTCTAACAATTTTTGTTCAAGAAGATCGTACCGACACTAGTTTTGTTTGATGAAAAACTGTTCTTTTCATTTCCAAATGCAGAAATTTAAAACAATCGATGAAATGTAGAACTTAATTCTTGAAAGACTTTAAGTCATGTTGCCAATTAGAAAAATTTCCAGAACTACTCCCCTTTATATAAAACTTATTAACAACACATTCAAGTACATCATATTCGTTCGAAGATAGAGTTGTAAAGAGGAAGAACATGACAATTGAGTCTTGAGGGATGATTAATCAGAACGTACCTCAATTTAATGCGGTCTTAAGTGGCTCCAAAAACCCTAACCTTTTCTTGAATATGCTCCTTGCAGCAAGGGCATTCATCTGCAATTCTTTCGCGACATTTAATACAAATGATTTGATGACCACAAGGAATAAAAAGAATTCGGGCTACCCTGTTCAAGCACATTATACATCGCGGGCGAATTGGAATGTCACAATCATTGTCCCAGATGTTGTCTAGGAACGTCTTTAATCGGTCCTGAGAAGAAGAAGAAGAAGAAGAAGACCCATCTTGGAAACCGTAAGTGTCCTCCAGCATACTAGATTCGTGATAGAAAGTTTTCCATTGATGCTCCACTTTTTTTCTTTCAACCTCAATTTCTTGCTGCAAAGTTGTTACCATTGTTTCCCTAGTCTCTTTTGCAATTCTTAGTGATCTTTTTTCTTCTTTGCGCTGATCATTCGCTTTCTCTTGTTTCTCCAATGCTTGTTCCACTCTCACCTGTAGAATCAAAGGGGTTCTTATGAGCATACATATTGGTTTGTTTGTTTAACAACATTCTCAAAAAACCAAAATGAAAATCTAGCTAGATATACGCGTAGAGGTGTGAGCTTATGCCTAGTTCTCCTCGAAAAATAAGTTAATTACAATAATGTTTACAAGAATAGTACACCAAATAAAATTTGGAGTTTAATGTCACAAACTATCCAAATTACCAACAAATTAAATAGCATAGTAATTGCTTATGTACCTCAAGTTCATTACTAGCTTCTTTAATGACGTGCAACTGCTTACCAAGCTGGAGGGTCATTTGTATTGTCTCACCAATTTTGCTATGGACACTAGCATTCATTCCTTCAAGAACTTCAATTTTCTTAGTCGTTCCCTTCTCCTCTTTCATTGCGTTCTTCAATTTCTTCTCCAATTCAGCGCCATTAACTTTACACGCCGAAATCTCAGCCCGAAGCTTTGAATTTTCAACCTGAAGATCACTTGTTCTCCTTTCCAGAAATTCAAGCTCATCATTCATTTTCCTTGATTCCAATTCCATCTTCAACATGTTGGTTAAGTGAGCACTTGCAATTTCTATCTTTTGTGTTTTCAACACCTCCTTAAACAACTCTGGCCTATTCTTCCTCTTTTCCACCTGCGCCTCAAGCTCCTTCACCTTCATTTCCAATCTCATTGCCAGGTCTTCAGTTTTAGCATCAAGGCTTTTTTCACTCATAAGCTTCACATTTTTTCCTTTGTCATTCGATCCAGAAGGATTATTATTAATCTTCTTACCTTGAATCTCTGGGTCCCAAGTAAGACTAACAGATTGAAGCACAAGGATATTATGTTTCAGGAATTCATCCAATTCAGTTTCGTCATCATCTAAATTTCCAGCACCCTTAACAATCCCTTCAACATCGACGAATTTGCAATCTAAAACATGTTGCAATAACTCGCGCCGGGTGGCGTTAGGATACAAACCAGCTGCAAAGTTAACCAGTGTCTGAACCATACACGTTATTAGGTCACGTATAGTTTGGAAACATGGGAGCACATCAACGGCATGTCGGCCATTCACCAGGGGGTAATTGTCGATGAAGTTGATCGAGTTCTTGAGGATGTTCTCCGCCATGTTTAATCCTTTTTCGCGGGCTATGTTACCACCACATAACAGCGCTAACTTTGCCGACGGGGAACTGTAACCTAATCCCAGCAGGATGTCAAAGGCTCCATCATATGCCAGTTCTATCTTGTCGTAGACTTCCTCGTATAGAGCTTTGATTTCTTCATCAACAGGTGCAGCAGGTACAACATTTTGAACTGTGGATTTGGACAGTTGATGAGATGAAAGTTCGGAGTTTGATTCCGTAGGTTTTGGCTTCTCTCCTCTCTTCTTGTTGTTGTTCCTTCCTTTCTTTGAACCTGCCATTTGTTTTCAACTCTTCCTCACTGCCACAGGGAAGGACAAAAAGAAGTAATGAATTCATCAGGTGCAAAATTAGATGGAAAATACCATGATGAATTGAGCAGATGGAATTTTTTTTTTTTTTAATCTTAGGTCGGAAATTTATTTATCTCCTAAAATAAGTCATTAACCACATACAGAAATCCTCCTGGTGCTGATGATGCGAAATTAATTATATTTGTAAACACAGATTTGCCCATGATAAAAATGATAGCCCAGATAATTAACTTTGATGAATCAAATTTCATCAAATTTGACAAAACATTCATTTTTCTTTTTTGTGATAAATATAATTAAATTAGAAACTGGAGAATTCAATTTCTTTACAAGTCAGGTAATTTTGGTAATGAAAAAAAATCCTAGATCTTCTACCATTAACATACCCTGAGGATCCAGAAGTTTGGTAATGAAAAAAAATCCTAGATCTTCTACCATTAACATACCCTGAGCATCTGGATCTCAAGCATACAAACAAGATATCAAGGTAATTGACAAATTTTTTGTTTTAATTTTTTTTTCCTCAACTGTATGATTAAGTAAAGTAAGAAATACACTTGACCCACCAAATAACAATGAAATTGAGATACAGGGTAAGCTGTGGTTGTTGATTTAATTTAGTAAGAAACCGAAGTGTAAGAAGATTTACGCAGATTTTAGTAATCCAATTCAAATACCACGACTCAATAAAAGAAATTAATATCTATTTCCAGATATCTCCAATATCACTGATGAGCTACAATGATATAAATAACACAACACAAAATTACAATCATGCTAAAGTGAGAACCCATACCCTATTCACTTAAACTTTCCTGGATTTATGCGTTTTTCTGGTTGCACACACATATCCAGCTCTCACACAGTCACACAGTAAAAAGAAAAGTTCCTTACGCCGTTTCGTTGTTGTTGTGAACTTTACTAAACGCATATGATGCATCCAAATCTCCTTTGACTACTTCTTCATCAATTGAGCAAATCTCCCAAGTTCATTTGGTCAGAATCTCACCAATGCTTGTAGATTTTAACCGCAATCTGGATCGCCGTCACTGAAATTTTCACACACACACACACACACACAATAAAAATGTCCATTAATATATATAATAATTAAGCTTTCTAATAAAAAGTAACAACACAGTTCCATGAAGAAAATCGAAATCGTTACCTTAGAATCTAACTGGATTAATTAATTGTCTCCATTGAACTTCAGGATGTTTTGAGGATGAGAATCGATGTGGTGAGCCTAAGAAGAAAGGTTTCACTGGTGTGAAGAATCGATTATATCGCTGCCACCGCTCACAAGATATAGACGCAACTTGTATGTTGAAATGGGAGTGTATCACTACATATTTAAGGTTGTGTGTGTGTGTGCGTTTTTGTTTTTGTGTATACGTGTACATGCAGTGTATTTGTAATGTTTTTTATTTCCTAAATTGGATTGAAAATTAAGGTGGTTTTCAAAGGTTCAAAAAATGTGTTAAAAAATTTTTGTGAATCGTGTATTTCTTTTTAATATATTTTGTAAGAGTAATGCCTTTTAATTATTTTTCTGAAAAATAATGTAGAAAACTAATTAAATAGTATATTGAATGATGTAATCCCGAAATTATTATCGAGTTTGGATTTTTACTTTTAATTCAAATTGTACCAAAATTGAAAATGTAAACTGTACAATAATTTTGGAATAGAGTGAGTATGTAAAGTATATAAAATCCAAGAAAACATAAACACCTAGAAAAGTTAATTTTACGGTAGATAGTTTGCGGTCATTGGCTAGTTGGATGTGGATGGTAACAAAAACTCTTTGAGTCTCCCCTGGAGTAATTTCGCTTACGTTGTAAACTAAGGCCGCCTCTTCAAGGTTTTGCCTCTACATTTTTTGTATTAAATAAACACACAAAAGAAGACCCCAGAAACTCCTTGGATGAGCTAATTAGTGTATAACGGTTCCTAATTTGGATGCTTTTTAATCATTTCTACTACTTTTTCAAAAGAGTAAACTGACGCATCTATATATGGAGGATTTCCGGTTTCGGTAAAAACCAACACAAAATAGAAAGGTAACACATTTATCTTGTCTTCCCCATATGAAGAAGATTATTGTAATGGGAATCACTAAATATCTAAATCCACGGTGTTATGAATCACTATACTTGATTTTTATTATTTTTTCCTTCATAAAACAATCAATGAGATTTATTGAACTATGTATTACTTTTTCCAAGGTGATTGCCAATTGAGAGCTTGAATATCTTTGTCGCAAGACCTCGCTTTTAAGGTTTCTTCGATGGTACACGACTATTATTAGCTAAATTAGATTTATGTAATTTTAGGCTCCATTTGGACAAGAGTTTTAAAAAGACTTTTAAGCCTAAAAAGTCTTTTTAGAGTTTAAAATGCATTTGAACAAAATAATTAAAGTCTTTTCTAAACATCAATTTGAAAAAACGAAGGCTTGAAACAAACATTTTAGATAATACGTAGGGGACTAGGGGGTATTTCTCAATTATTTGAAACATACTTTTTTGTCTCCGTTCACGGGTCAGAATCCGGGCCGAGGGTGGGTTATGAAAAAAGCGGGTAATGGATATAAGGGAAAAATACGCATGTTCTCACTCTTGCCCTAGATCCGCCGCCCCTTTTCTCACTATCTCTCCTTCAGCCGTGCCGCACCCCAGTGACAGCGACGGCCACGGCAAAACTCCCCGTGACGGCGACGACGAAGTAGAAGGCGACACCTTGTTCTAGTAATCTTTTTTATTCCCGTCTTTTTTCTTTTTTTTTCTTTTGATTAGATTAGGTTTAGCTTCAATCACTTCTAATACTTGGATATACACTCAAATCCTTGTTACTTCAATAGGGATTTGTATGAATTTTTTGTGGGTTTTACGTATTGATTCATATTTGAACTGGGTTTTTTTTGTGAGTCAGAATCATTACGGCTGACGAGCTGAGCACGAATTAGAGATTTTGGTTAAATTCTCGTGTCTTTGTTGATTTGCTTTCCTTTCTGGATATTCCATTCTGGTTAAAAAAAAATGATTTCGTTGATGTGTGTCAATACTGGTGGTTGATGAAACTGATTGGTTGCTATTGATGTGTGTCAATACTAGTGGTTGATGAAACTGGTCGTTGATGTGTGTCAATACTGGTGGTTGCTGAACTTATCTTTGTGCATTTTAATTTCAGAACCAAAGCATAACTTACAAGGTGCCTGCCAGCTTGGGCAAATTAGGGTCCCAGTTCTTGTTGATTCCACTCAACAGGAAGCTCTACGTCTGTTAAAGAAACTCAAGGTTTGGCCTTGGAATTATTGTTTTTTTTATAAGGGTGATGTAAGATTTTTGCTGATATGGAATTTCAAAAACATTATCTCATCAGATTAATTTTTTGAGTTGTAGTTTAGATTATGTCAGTAATCTGTCACATTTTATTTGAAAAAGATTTTTTTCATTTCCTGGACATAGTGATGTTTCCTAATGTTTCAGTTCTGAGCATAATTAAGCTTGTTGCTCCTAGCGCAAATTTAGGTGGAGTTTGACCTCCTCATTGTGATAGTTTTCTAATCATCGTAGAGTTTCATTTATTTGTTTTGGAATAGTTTATGTTTCTTTAGGTCTTAGCTATGCTTTTATGTTGTATGACGAATTTCATCTCTAAATTCAGACAAAACTATTATAAAGAAGGGGCATTTTCCCCTTATTTTTTAACAGAATCTGCTTTATCAGTGAGTTGTGATTAGGTTAATATCAAGAATCAAAATGAGTATGGCATTATAATTTATAAGTATGTTTCAGTGGGCTACAGAATGTTAGAACTTTTAGTGTTGTTTGATAAATTGATTCACCACCAGAACTCAGTTGACTTAATGGATTTTTGGTTGTCTATGAAAATAGCTTCAAGCTAGGTATATCAGGTCTGATTTTTTCTTGAAATTCATGACTGATAGCTACTGTTTGAGCATTGCTTTAGTACGTTTATAATGTCCTCTAAAAGTAATTCTTTGACCTTTCGAATTAGAACTACTAAGATCCTTGAACTTCTGCTCTTCGTGTGTTGTTGCATGTGCTGTGTATCTTCCTCTTCATGTAGAATTTTGTGTTTGATGGTGTACATGTGCTGTGTATAAACCTTGACATCTGATTTTTCTGTCAATTTGTTTCTCTGCTGGGAGCAAAGAATAGTTAATCCAATTAAAGGTAATCACAGCTGGGAGCAAAGAATAGTTAATCCAATTAAAGGTAATCACAGACTTGTCAGTTTTAGTTTTCTGCCTCTTTTTTTCTCAGTTTTATCTTCCCTATATGTTCATAATTTTGGTTCTAATGACATCATGTTTTATCTTCACTTATCTGTTTCTGTTTCTAAGTTTGTGTTTTGTTTTGGAGTTGCAATGGTTTTTTAGTATGGTACACCTACTGAGTTATTAATCATGTTTGTATGGTTTGAGCTTCCATGCATAGGATAAGAGATTATTACAATTCACTAGCCTAGTTGATTTATGAAAATATGGGCTGTTTATCATGCATAACTTGGAGTATGTATTACGGGGCCATTGATTCAGTACTCTCTTATGATGGTGTACTAAGTTTAAGGCATTTTCTGCGGTCATAATGTAACTTAACTAAGCTTCAGATGTTAGAGATAAGTGAAAGTAGTAGTAACAAGTACGAAGTTTCTCGGACCGTTTGGATTGAAGGAGACGTGAAGCTATTTGTTGACTTACTGTTGGAATATAAAAGGAAAGGCGAAATGAAGCAGAATAACTTTGACAATTTTTGGGTCCAGATTACCAAAGATTTTAATGCCAAATCAGACTATAAGCAAACCCTTGAGCAACTGAGTCAGAAATTTCATCGCTTTAGAAATGACTGGAATGCTTTTAAGGATTTGCGAGAGAAACGCACTAGTTTAGGGTGGGATCACCAAAAAGGAACCGTTAGGGCTTCTGAAGAACGTTGGAA